TCAAGAGTCTTCTCCAGCACAGACCCTCACATAAATGTAATTAGTGGAAATTTAACTTTGGGGATAATTTATCAATTTTGAGTAATTTTAGAATCTCAGCGGAGAGGTGTAAAATCATCTTTGTTGTCCAAGGGTGGGATTTACCATGAGTGCTGTTGGGGGGCAGAGAAGTCATGCTTCCCTTAGCCCTTTCATCACTTTGGGAAAGGACCTGATTTTGTCCTCAGCTATGAAAACTTAGAGGACTGTGTGTTTGTAGTTGGTGCAAATCAGACCCCCTGCACCCAGAGTGACCAGAACTGAGAGGACCTCAGTCCTGAGTCTCTTTCCTTTGGAGTGTGTTCCGGTGTCTTTACTGCCTTTGCTCTGTTGAACTTTCCTCCTTCCAAGGCTTTTTACTTTGGTTTCTGTCCCATCCCTTGCTTTTCCCTCCCATGGCCGCCTCAGAGCAAAGCCCACATGGTCATTCTTCCTGGAATAATTCTCTGAGGGCCGAGAAGGAATCTCTCCAGGGAGACTGTCGTCATTCCCCTTGCCTGCTTGGGTCAGAGGTTGCCTTTTTCACTGTTGTAAACTGCTCTGAACTCTGAGCTGAAACAGTGTAGATCATTGAGTACTATAACCTTTCATTCTAGAAACTCTCCTTGGAACTTTACACAAAGTGAAAAGCTTTGTGGGTGAGACAGTGATAGAGGGAGGGGTGTGTTGTTTGGTTTCTTCAAGATGGGCATGATGATAGTCAAAGTCGCTTGGTCGTGTCCGACTCTTTGTGACCCCATACATGTCATACAGTCCATGGCATTCTCCAAGCCAGAATATTGGAGTGGGCAGCCTTTCCCTTCTCCAGGGGATCTTCCCAACCCAGGGATCGAACCCAGGTTTCCTGCATTGCAGGTGGATTCTTTACCAGCTGAGCCACAAGGGAAGCCTAAGCTGTAGAGTCAGTATCAATAATACTATGTTGTTTTGCTTAGGGGGGAGTGGGAAGGAGTTATCAGGAGCAAGCAGTGAGATCTTTTCATTTTCAGATAGAATTAGTTTAGATTTCACCCCGTCACTGCCTCAGTCCCTGGATGAGCAACCTCTGAGCCACAAGCAGGTGCAAGCCCGGGTGCTCCTGCTGTGCCCCTGGACGTTTTCCCAGCGGGCTCGTCTTAACTAAATAATGGCTGGTATCATCAGGCGCTTGCTGTGTGCCAGGCGTTGTACTGTGCCCTCTGCGTGCCTTATCGCCTTTAGTCCTGTCAGTAGCCCTGTGGGTTGTAGAATCTCTTACCATCTCACTTCCCTGAGGTTTTAGGAGTTAAGTAGCTTTTCCAGGGCCACACTGGGAGTGGAATTTGGGTGTTGCTGGCTTGCCTGAGGTCCATGTGAGCAGGAGGAGGACGGAAGGCAGAGGTTGGAGGGGAGTGCCTTTGGGGTGTTGCTCCTGCTTTTGCTTTTGGGTCAGGGCCGAGGAGCATTCCCAGCATGTCAGGGTGGGTGGGGTGACCAGTTGGCAGGGATCAGAGTCAGGTAGCTTACTTCAGCCCAGGAATGGAGCAGGGTGGGAGCAGGCAGACGGGAAGAGGCGGAACGCGTAGAGCGCAGCCTTGTTCCCCCGGCCTTCCTTCCTCAAGGGGAATCTTCTTACCTTTCCTTGACCTTCTCTTCTGCCGACTGACGGCTTCCCAGGTGGTTCAGACAGTAAAGAATCTGCCTGCAGTGGAGGAGACCTGGGTTCGATCCCTCGGTCAGGAGGATCCCCTGGAGAAGGGAATGGCAGCCCACTTCAGTATTCTTGCTTGGAGAATCCCATGACTCTCTCAGAGAAGTCTGGCGAGCTACAGTCCATGGGGTCACAAAGAGCTGGGCTCAGACGCTAACACTTTCAGTTCCCTTTCTTCTGACTGGAAAACCGGTCTTGCTACTTACTACCTAGGCTGTTGTCTCCTTCCTGGCTCAGGGGAAACTGCCCACAGGTTAAGTATGAATTGAGGAGTATAACAGGGAGCAAAAGAATGCGAAAGGCAGAAGAAGGAAAAACGAAGCATGGTTTCCGTTTGCCAGGCATTTTCTCGTTTATCTGTTGATTTGATTAGCAACCAGTACCCAGTCAGGGGAGGCAAAGATGGTTATATCCTCATTTTACATGTGGAAAAATGCAGTCAGTGCATACTGAATGATTATCCAGGGCTCCTTGGTAGAAAAACCAGCCTGAGATTTGAACTCCACCTCCTAGAATTCTTTGCTCTGGACTCATCTGCACATGCGCACATGTACTTGTGTGTTTAACATACCCCGGGACACCTGGTGCCAAAATCATATCCCCAAATGCTGACTCCAGTGAGTTACTTATATATGTTATGCTCATCATTTGGTGGGTACTTAATTGGTATAAATCTTGAGACATTTAACTCTGTACCTAACAGCTCCTACAGGCCCCTTTTCAGGTGCCCACTCTTGAGTGTCCTGGATACCCACTGTGGTTTTTTTGGACAGTGGATTCATGATTGAGAAAGCCCCTGGGCCTCATCTTCTTCCTCCAGACTGATGACTCTTGCAGCTGGCCACTCTGACCTTGTCTGACTCCTTGCTGGTAGAGGTTTATGGAGCTTTTGTTTTGTTTCTCTTGTGGCTAGCTTAGCAGCTTGGAATGATACTGGCTGAGTGACATGGGTCCAAAGTGGGCTGTTCTGTGTAACTTCTTGTTCTCTCAGTTGCCTGGGAGATCAGTGAGCCCAGCTGTCAAGTGCTGCTGCTGTGTTCAGCCCTGTGGACAATTGAGGGTGGAGAAAAGTGATCAAAGTACCTAGCAAGGTGCACTGCATTCATTCATTCGGTAACTCGATATTGAACAACTCTTCTGTGCCAGGCTGTATCCCAAGTACTGGGGATGTAAAGGCAGACTCGATTCTGCCCTCATCTAGTGAAGGGCACTGTCAGTGCACTGGGCATTCAGTACATAAAATATCGTCATTAAGGCTATTCCTGTAATAATCATAGTGATGTTATTAATAGAATAGTGCTTTACCATCTTGATGAGATTATGGGAAATGAAGACATCATATTATCACACCCAGTGGTCTGCATTCCTATAACTTTTTATCAAACCAGCAGACTCTTGAGAGTCAGGAATGTGTTTTTTTTTTTTTTTGTTTGTTTGCCTCCTGGCTGGAGAACGAGTTGTAAAGGTTCATCACTCCTTTAGCTGGAGTAGAACTCCTTTAGCTGGAGTGTTTGAATTAGGAGATTTGACCCTGGGGATTTGTATGCTGAGAGTTATAGACCCTGAGCATCTTCCTGGAACTCCAGTCTGGGATCTATCTCACTGACACCAGCTCCCTTCCTTCCTGGCCTGACTTTTTTTTTTTAAATTTTGTTGTGGCACATAAGCTTTCTCTGTTTGTGGTATGGGCTTCTCTTGTTGTGGAGCATGGGCTCTAGAGCTTGCAGGCTCAGTAGTTGCGGTGCTTGGGCTCAGTTGCCCTGTGGCATGTGGGATCTTAGTTCCTTGTTTAGGAACCTGCATCACCTGCATTGGAAGGTGGATTCTTAACCACTGGACCACCAGGGAAGTCTCATGGCCTGACTTTTTATAAGGACTGCAGTGCTTTTAAACTGTAAACAGAGGGATTATGGATAGAAGGAGTTTGACTAGTAAGTTGTTCTTTTTTTAAACAGTCTTACTTAGATGTAAGTGACATACCATGTATTTATCATCCTTTTAAAATATACAATTCAGTGCTTTCAGTATATTTATAAAGTTGCACAGCACTCAGTACTGTCTAAGTCCTTAGCATTTTCATCAACCCAGATAGGAACCCTGTTCCCACTAGCAGTCACTCCCTATTTCCTGCTTCCCTTCACCCCTGGCAGCCACTAATATATATTCTGTCTCTATGAGCTGACCTATTGTGGACATTTCATATAAAAGGAATTATATAATATGTAACATTTTGTGTCTGGTTTCTTTCACTTAATATAATGTTTTCAAGGTTAATCCATGTTGTAGCATACATCAGTACTTTTTATAGCTGAATAATATTCAGACATTATATGTTCATTCATCAGTTGATGGACATGTGGGTTGTTTCCATCTTTTGTTATTGTGAATAATGCTGCTGTGAACATTCACGTTCAAGTTCTGTGTGGATGTATCTTTTTAACTCTCTCGGTTGATACCTAGGAGTAGAGCTGCTGAGACATATGGTAACTCTGTGTTTCACTTTCTGAGAAACTGCCATGCTGTTTTCTAGGGTGGCTGTGCATTTTACATTCTCATCAGCAGTGTATGAGCATTGACATTTCTCTGTATTCTCATCAAAACTTGCCATTATCTTTTTGATCATAGCCATCCTAGTGGGAGTGAAGGGATATCTTGCTGTGGTTGGTTTGCATTTCCCTGATGGCTGTGGTGTTGAGTATCTTTTCATGTGCTTATTGATAATTGTATGTCTTCTTTGGAGAAATATCTGTTCAGATTTTTTGCTTAATATTTAATTAGGCTATTTTATCTTCCTGAGTTGTAACAATTATTTACATATTCTGGACCATTAGTCCCTTATCAGATATGTGGTTTGCAAATATTTATCCCCATTCTTTGGATTGTCTTTTCATCTAATGGTATCCTTTGCAGAATAAAAGTTTTAAATTTTGATGAAGTCCATTTTATCCATTTTTTCTTTTGTTGTATTGCTTTTAGTGTCATATCTAAAAAGACATTGCCTAATCCACGGTTGCAAAATTTCCTCCTATGCCTTCTTTTAAGAGTTTATAGTTTTAACATTTTTATGACTGTTAACTTCTTATATACTGACTGAGGCTTTCAAAGTTCCTGTTAGCTGTTTGCTAGGGGTAAGTATTGGGTGAGAGGCTATTATCCTGGGACTTCTTTTCCTTGCCACATTGATAAGTCAGTCGAGGAGCCCTGGCAAGCACTTAATTCTTGCAGGTGTTTCTAGCTATTTTGCGGTTTTCATATTTCATTGTCTTCCCCCTACCCTTTTTTTTTTGGGAAGGTAACGAATGAAGAGGACTTCATTAGGAAATTGGACTGCAAACCTGATCAGCATCTGAAAGTGGTTTCCATTTTTGGAAATACTGGGGATGGGAAGTCTCATACCCTCAACCACACTTTCTTCTATGGCCGAGAAGTCTTCAAAACCTCCCCTGCCCAGGAGTCCTGCACTGTGGGAGTGTGGGCAGCATATGACCCAGTCCACAAAGTAGCCGTGATAGACACGGAAGGGCTCTTGGGGGCTACAGTGAATCTAAGCCAGAGAACACGGCTGCTGCTTAAGGTCCTGGCCATCTCGGACCTCGTCATCTATCGAACTCATGCAGACCGACTGCACAATGACCTCTTCAAGTTCCTTGGGGATGCCTCAGAAGCTTATTTGAAACATTTCACTAAGGAGCTCAAGGCTACCACTGCCCGCTGTGGCCTGGACGTCCCCTTGTCCACCCTGGGCCCTGCTGTTATCATTTTCCATGAGACTGTGCATACCCAGCTACTGGGCTCTGGTAAGTAGATGGGGTTCGGTTGTCACACGTTGACCTTTCTGGGCTGCAGTAGCGACTTGGCGGTGGAAGATTGCCCAGAAAAATTTCTGCCTGGGCAAGACATAAGGAAGTGTTTCAAGAAGGATGGAGTGATCAACCATGTCAGAATCTGCTCATGGGCAGGATGAGGATTGAGAATTGCCGATTGGCTTTGGTGATATAGAGGTCCTTGGTGATCTGGGTAAGACCGTTTCCCAGGGATGGTGGGCCTGAAAGCCTGATCAAAGTGGGATCAAAAAAAGAGAAGGAAAAATCTTAAGGTAGTATATTCATCTCTTTCATAGAGTTCTATAAAGTGTTCTAAAAGTGACAGCAGGAGGCTGATGTGGGGGGTTTCAGGGAATTTCCCCTTTTTTGAAATTTAAGATGTGAGGTATTGCAGATACTTGTGTATTGCTGGGAATGATGAAAGGAAGAGATGCAGATGTAAGAGAGAGAGCAGGAGTGATGCACAGGTGGAGGGCTGACCTTAGGAGCGTGGACGGTTCATCCGTAACAACAGGAGAGAAGGGAGATTATATGGACACGATTACGGGTAAGTAGGTAGACGTGGTGGAAGTTGTCTTATTGTTTCTGTTTTCTTAGAGAAATAGGAAGCAAGAGCATCTCCCGAGTGGGAGGATGAGGGAGCAGGTGCGACAGTGATTGGATGCAGGTGGGGACGATAGCATTGGCTCGGAAAACAGTTTCATTATTAATGTTCATTCAGTTAACAAAGTTTATTATGTGCACAAGGTCACATGCTGACTGCCAGGACCCCAAACTGAAAAAAAAAAAACAATTCCCACCCTCGAATAGCTGATAGTCTAGTTGGAGAGGCCACACGTACTCCGTTCTGTGCTGGGTGTCACTCCTGGAGCTGTGAGTGTGCAGAAGAGGGACACTGTACACCTCTTTGTGGGATCTAGGAAAGAGGAGGTGACATTTGAACTCTAGAGACTGATTAGATAGAGGAGGGGAGGAAGGATGCTCTAGGAAGATGAACCTGTAGTGGTTTGAAGGAACTTGTTGTGTCCCGGGAACTGTAGGTATTTGTACACTTGAGTTCCTGGATTCCGTTCCTGCCCCCTTCAATGCATCTTCCTTGAAGGATGGGGAATGATGTTTTTTAAAAGCTTAATTTATACTTTAGGTCATGTCATACTCCTGCTTCCAGCCTGTCAGTGGCTTTCCATTACGTCAGGATAAAATCTAAACTCCTAATTACAGTGTCCTCACTCCTGCCTCTGTCTCTGAACACTCGATGCTTAACCCCTTTCACTCCCTCCACTAGCTATACCAGACTTTTCTCTGTTCCCATCTTTGCACAAGCTACTCTGTCTACCTGGAACACACGTTCCCCCAGCCAGCCATCCTTTTTCAGATTCAGCTCAACTCTTAGCCCCTTGGAGCCTTTGCCAAATGTCTCCTTTAAAATGGTCCTTCCTACACCCTGGTGGTCCCGTCTTGTTATATCACCCTGTTCGTGTTCATCAGGATGCCTGTCGCTCTCTGAAATCATCCTGTTTGTTTGCTTATTGGTTTTTGATCTTTTCCCCTTGGAATGGAAACTCCAGGAAGGCAGGCACCTTGCCTGTCTTATTCACTGCTGCCTTTGAAGAGCCTGGGTGGGTGCTTGGCGCACAGTAGGCTGTCATCAGACACTTGCTGAATGAAGAGCCTCAGTGTGTCTGAGGCTTAGATTGTGTGGGAGGGAATAGTAGACACACTCAGGGATCAGATCATGCATGGATGGCCTTGGTTTAGGTCTCAAGTATGACAGGATCCCTTGAAGGATTTTAAGTAGGGAGTTTATGTGATCAGATCTGTATTTTCAAAGAGATCTCCCATGGCCTGTTGCAGGATGAACTAGAGAGGCCTGTGTAGAGGCAGGGAGGTGGCCAGGAGCTTATCACAGTACTAGGTGAGGAGTGATGGGGCCTGAGCGAGGGCAGGGCAGCAGGTGGGGAGTGGACAGACTAGGACCATATTAAGGAGTTAGAATCCGAAGGATCTGGGTCTAGGATACCTCCCGTGATTAACAGTTTTATGCCACTTTGGATCTTCACAGCTTTGGTGAGGGGAGGGTCTAATTTCCTATTCAGGATTTTGAAACAACCAGCCTTTCAAAGTAACTTTTTTTTCCCCATAGGCTTTATTTATTTATTTTTTAAAAATCTTATTTGTTTTTGGCTGTGCTGCGTCTTTGTTGCTTTTCTCTAGTTGCAGCTAGCGGGGGTTACTCTCTAGTTGCAGTGCGCAGGCTTCTCATTGCCGTGGCTTCTCTTCTTTTGGAGCACAGGCTCTAGGGCCCGAGGGTCTCAGTAGTTGCGGCTTGCAGGCTCCAGAGAACAGGCTCAGTAGTTGTGGCATATAGGCTCAGGCACTCTGCAAGCATGTGGGATCTTCCCGGAACAGGAATCATACCTGCATCTCCTGTGTTGGCAGACGAATTATTCACTGCTGAGCCACCAGCGAAACGACCCCCCCTCTTTTTTTCCTTTTGCTTTATGCCTTGCACTATGCTTGATGTTTGTTTATTTGTTTTTTAAAATAAAAGCTGACTAACAAAGATAACATTTTTTTTTCTTAAATTTAAAAAAATTTTTACTTTTTCCCTGTGTCAAGCGGCATTTGGAATCTTAGTTCCCTGACCAGGAATCAAACCTGTTACCGTCTCCAGTGAAAAAGTGCAGAGTCTTAACCACTGGCCCGCCAGGAAAGCCTCAACATTTTCTTAAAATAAATGCAGACTTAATGTATCTTTGTTATTCAGCTCAGTCAAAAGCAGCTATATTTTACAAATGAAGAAACTGAACTCAGAGAGCTTAGGTTATGTAACCAAGGAGGTTCTAGCTAGCAGGCTGCAACATTGGGATTCTGAATCCAGAGTTGTTTCTGGATCCAGAATTTGGGCTACTTCTCTTTGATGACTGTACCTTTAAATTTGAGCTAAAGCCATATTTCCAGTGTTAATTCGAGTGATTTTGTTGTTAAAATATTAAAGGAAATTATGCTGTATGACTCAGGAAACTCAAACTGCGGCTTGGTAACAACCTATAGGGGTGGGATGGGGAGGGAGGTGGGAGAGATGTTTAAGTGGGAGGGGACATGGGTAAACCTATGACTGATTCATGTTGATGTTTGGTAGAAACCAACACAATACTGTAAAGCAAGTATCCTTCAATTAAAAATAAATAAATTTTTTTAAAAAAGCAACATAATCCTGTCAGCCCAGAATCTAGCTTCTAAAGAATAAAATAATTTAGTTTTTTCAAAAAAAAATTAAAGGAAGTTAAAACCAAAAGTCCTTCCAAGTTTTATCTCCAAAATGATTATTGAATCTGTTTATACTGCTGCTCCCTAAATTTCTGGATAAATGTTGGTGAAACTATGGGAGGGCTGATACCCTCACATGTTGGCAGTTGTCTGCAACTTCACCAGCATAAGACCAGCGCTCCCAGAGCAGCTATTTATTTTAAATGCTTATTAGAAGGTGACTGGTGAAATCCATCCATAGGATGGAAGACTATGTAGCTGTTAAAAAGAAGAAGGAGATGTCGTCTCACAGTGTATCAAGTGTACAAGGACACATGCTTACGGTATGTTATTAAGTGATGAAAGCAAGTTGCATATATGTGTTGGGAATTATGTAGGAAAAGAAAAAGTCTGAAAGGGTAAACACTGGACTGTAGTTCCCTTTGAAGAGTAGGAGGGAGCAGAGGACCTACATTTCTTTCCTTTTATGCTTTGACATGTTTGGATATTTTACAATGAGCACATTAAAAAAAATACACTTCTAGTGAAGAATCCATCTTGTAATGCAGGGGACTCCGGTTTGATCTCTGGTTGGGGAACTGAAACCCCCACATGCTGTGGAGCAACTAAGCCCTCGCGCTGCAACTAGAGAGCCCGTGAGCCACAATGGAGATCGCTCATGATGCAGCTTAGACCTGCTGCAGCCATTAAATAAATAAATATTAAAAGTTAAATAAATGACTGATTCTCTCTCTTTTTTTTTTTAAAGGTACTTCCTTGAAGTGTAACACACATACCAAAAAGTGCACGTTATATCAAAAGTTTATCCCTGAAGCCCTTTCGCAAGCTGAGGGTGTATGTGAATTCAATACCAGGTCATGATACACCAGCCCCTACTTCACAGAAACTCGCGCTTGTCCTTTCTTCTAGGCAGTTCCTTCCTGCCTGACTTCCAACAGCATAGAGCAGTTCTGCCTGTTTATATTTACAGAGTCACACCACGTATTCCTTTTATAATGAAAGACAGGAGACTTTTTTTTTTTTAAAGAAAGGCCCCTCTTCACACACCTGTTTCCGCTTGTCCAGATCACCCCTCTGAGGTGCCGGAGAAGCTCATCCAGGACCGGTTCCGGAAGCTGGGCCGCTTCCCGGAAGCCTTCAGTTCTATTCACTACAAGGGGACGAGGACCTACAACCCTCCCACTGACTTTTCTGGGCTTCGTTGTGCTCTGGAGCAGCAACTGGAGAACAATACCACCCGTTCTCCCCGGCACCCGGGCGTCATCTTCAAAGCCCTGAAGGTCAGTTGCTTTCTGGCCGGAGTGCTTCTCCCTGGGGCACCAGTGGGTGGTGACGCTCGGTTCTCCAACTTCTGTCAGTGCTGGTGATGAGAAACCTGGGCCGAAAAGAGAGGGTCTGTGAAAGGAAGGGCATGAGTGGAGTGTGTTACCTGTTGAATGGCATCATCTTGCCAGGAACGTGAGTCTCGGATGTTAGTTAAAAGGTCCTCTTGGAGAAAAACCTTATTTTACCATTCTTTATAATGAAGACATCAACTCAGTTTGTGCCAAAATTGCTTCCGTTTTACGGTTTGTGTACACCTCTGTGTTACCATGGCTGCAGGCGGAGGACAGAGGAGCAGGAAGGGGCCAGGGTCTTTGGAGCAGTGCTGAGAGTGTGGCGTTTGGAGAAAGGACAGTGTTGACATGAAGACTTGAGCTAGGGATTTGAGGGTGCCCTGAGGGTTAGGGCATAGAGCCTGAGACCAGAAGAGATAGGAGAAGCGGTTTACATAAAGCTAGGCCGGCCCTGATTTACCCAGGAACAGACTTTGGGCATATGTTGATTTGCTTCATCCATGGAGTCTAAAAGGTTTGCAGTGGGACACAACGTAAGCAGTTTCTGCATCTGGATAAACTGTATACGGAAGTTTGTTATACTATTCTTGCAACTTTTCTACAGGTTTGAAATTACATCAAAATGAAAAGTTAAAAAAACAACAGGAGGAGGGAATGAAGTTACTCTTCAGAAAAGGTTTATGGTTTTTGCATTGTGGTTACTAAAGGCTAGATGTTTGTATCCTCACAAAATTCGTATCTTGAAATACACTAATGCCCAATTAGTATACCCAGGGGTTTGGGGGAGGTGATTGGGTCATCAGAATGGAACCCTCTTGAGCGACTTTAGCACCCTTAGAAATGAAGCCCCAGAAAGCTCCGTAGCCCCTTCCACCAAGTGAGGACACTGTGAGAAGGCACACCATCTGTGAACCAGAAGGCAGAGCCTCACTGGGAGGCTGCCATGCTGCACCCTCATCTTGGATTTCCAGCCTATAGGACTGTGGGGAATAAATTTGTCATTTATAAGCTTCCCAGTCTGTGGCATCTCATTATAGTATCCTGATTGGACTAGAAAAACTTGGAACTCCGGAGTCAGACAGACTTGTGTTGGGATCCCAGTTCTGCCATTTACCTGTTGCTTGGTCTTAGGAAATTAGTTATTTCATTCATCCATTCAACAAATAAATGAGTGAATCTCTGTCAGAGTTTGAGGTGCTGGAAATAACTGTGGAGAATAAAGACAACAATCTTTGCCCTTACGGAATACTTCTTCAAGGGCTTCCCAGGTGACTCCGTGGTAAAAAAATCTACCTGCCAGTGCAGAAGATAACGAGTTCGATCCCTGGGTGGGGAAGATCCCCTGGAGGAGGAAACGACAGCCCATTCCGGTATTCTTGCCTGGAAAATCCCACAGAGAGAGGAGCCTCGTAGGCTAGAGTCCATGGGGTCACAAAGAGTCGGACACGACTGATCACACGTGACCTTGTAATGGCATAGGTAGTCAGGTGGAAGATTACACCCAAGTATTGTGAGCATTCTTAAATGGAGGCTAAATCCGTACTGTGTTATACAAAGGGCTGTAAAATCTGATCCTTAAGAATATTGACAACTAGGCCAATGGCTGCATTATAGATTTCTTACGTTTTCTCAAAGTTAACCTAGCTTACTGTTTACATAAGACCTTCAGGGACTCCAGGTGCCGTAAGCAGTAATTAGCGCTCAGAGATTTCACCTCACGCATCTTGGATGTTCTCCTCCAGGCCAGTTTGTCAGGTACTTTTCTGTTGTTGTTGTTGTTAGTTACTTTTGAGAAAAAGAGTTAGACTGTGTTTTTATGAGGGGATATGATTCATGAAGCTTTCTGTGATTAAAATGAGCCTGGTCAGCTGGAATTCTGAGGACTCTAGGTAACTGTTGGCCTCGAGTTTACCTGTATCTTGTATTTCCTGTTCTCTGAGGCAGGGTCTGTGCATGGGATGGGGTTACCTGTTTAAGCTCGTGTTTCCGGCTCTCCTCAGGGAACTTTGGGGTCTTGCAACTTAGTCAGATCCTTGAAAAAATTCTTTTGTCTTTTTCTGGTTGTTTTTAATCTGCTTTATATTAGAAATTGTTCATTCTCTGATGATCGTGCTTATAGAAAGCTACCTTTAAGGTCTGCATTAGGCAGATTGACCTAGGAGAGGTTTATTGTTGTTAAAATACTCTTAACAGAAGTCTTCATAGTTCATAGCAGTGTATAATATGATGGCCATTTATTTTTGTCTACTTATTTTTTGTTTTATGTTGTTGTATTTTTTTTTTTTTAAAGTGGCCTTGCATTCTTTTTGGAACAAAAGATTGGGGATGGTCATAAACAGATAAATTATCAGTGCCAAAATAGCTTGTTTGACTTTCTGTTTCTCCCATTTTTTTTCTTTCTCTACTGGTATTTATTCGCCACCTTGTCCAGTTCCTCACTGACTCCCTGAGGAAGCACTTCAAGAAGCCTTGGGATATATTCTAGTATGATTTATATGATTTTGTTTCCTCTGTGATTTTCTCTTTATTTTACATAAAATGGGAATATTGTTAGAAAAAAATGTATAAACCTTTTGGGAAAATGGAGAGACAAATGTGTAAACCTTTTGGGAAAATGGAGAGGCACTATGAGGCAAGACTGTGATGCCCAAATAAAGAAGTCTCAACTCTCTAGTAAGACCACTACCATGCAAGGGTAAACACTGACAGGTTTGGCAATAAAATTGTCAAAAAGGATATGAAGCACTGTAAACTCTTACAAACTTCTGGTTGAGGTAAAATTAGTACAGCCACTTTGAAATGCAGTAGTATAAAGAAATGCATAATATATATTCCAACCATGTCATTTCTAGAAATTGGCCTTAAAGCAACTCTTCCACAGGAACACAGAGACCTATATGAGGAAGTTAATGGCAACATCCTTGTAATAGAAAAGAAAAAAGCAAACTAAGTGTGCAAAAAATAGATGCATGGGGCATTATATATGATTCTTTGCTACTTATTTTGAAAAGAGAATTGGGGTTGTGATGTATCTATGTGCACTTATATACTTTGCTTTTTTTAAATGAAGTGTTGAAGCCTAGCATTTTTTCCATGCTATTAAATATCCTATAAAACCATGTTTTTTAAAAATAGCTGTATGCTTTTTCATTTATATGGGTGGATCATTTTTTATATGTAGTAGTTCTGCCCATACTTTAATAGTACTTTCCATTTTTCCTTATATTTTCTGAGTACCTAAAGTTATTGCCCACATTCTGCCTACCTCCTTGGGGTAAATTACAGCTCCCAGTACTGCTGGCCAACCTTTCTGTGGAGTGTTTACTAATGTCATGTTCTGTGCTCTGTATTGACATGTATTCATTCATTTTATCCTCGTTTCAACTCTGAGGTTGAGAAACAGAGGCAGAGAGAGGTACGTTAATTTGCCTGAGATGACTTGTCTAGTGAGTGGTGGAGAATTTGTTTTTTTAATATTCATTTATTTATTTGGCTGCGCCAGGCCTTAGTTTGCAGCACAGCACTCGGGATCTTCAGTCTTTGTTGTGGCATGTAGGATCTTTTTTAGTTGCAGCATGTGGGATCTGGTTCCCGACGAGGGATCGAACCCAGGCCCCCTGCATGGGGAGTGCATAGTCTCAGTCACTGGACCACCAGGGAAGTTCCAGTGGTGGGCAATTTGAACCAGGTAGTCTGGCTTCCAAGTCTGTGCTTTTAAACCCTGGGCTGTATTCCTTCTCAATAGTTACTCCACTTTTAAGAAGGTCAGAAGATGGGTCATCTTTAAAGGTTCCTGATACATATTACCAGTTGCCTTTAGAAAGGACATTCTTAGAAGTTGTATTTGAGTGTTTGGTTACTTTAAAAAGTTATTAAAAAAAAATAAAAAAAATAAAGTTATTTTTTAAATTGTAAAAACAATGTGTGTTTGTAATAAACAATTGAAATAGTACAGATTCAAATAGTACAATTCCAGTAGCAAGGTATGACTTATGTCCCTTTCACTCCTGTCCCCCTCACTGTATGATAACTGTTATAAAACTTTCTGACATACGCTTCCCGAAATGTTTGGTGATGCTTCAGTGCATACAGAAATATATGTATATAACGTATGTATACATTTTCTTCCTAAATACGTCAGATCATAGAGAAGTTAAATCTTTTTTTCCTTCCACATATTCTTTTCATGTTCATTATTGAACAGGAAATGTGATTAATGAGCCAGATTGAGGAGTTGTAGAATGTGTGTGTATGAGACCTTCAGTCACTTTCTGCTCTTGTGACTTGCCCGTATGTTTCCCATTCATTCTGCTGATCTGGTTGTTCTTCCTTCCATTTGGCCTTGTTGTGGTCCAAGCCCCAGTTCCTTTTCTCCAGCTGAATTTTTCTCACTTCTTAACCTCTCACTCGTTTGCTCAGTTTCCACAGTAGCAATAGCTCAGATACCTACCAGCAGAGCATATTTTCACTGATGAAGTAAGTCTGTTTGAAGAGATGTTCAGTTCCCTATTGACTAAGGAAATTGAATATTGAATTAACTGTTGTTGCCTATATTTACAGTTAAGAGTAATGGAGAGTACCATTTTAAGGTTGGATTCTGACAGGTTTTCTGTACTACCTCCTTTAGTCTCTGATCTCTAAATGTAGGAACTCTGACTCTCTAATTCTGTCACATCAGGAAGCACCTATTAAGTATTTACGAAGTTATTATATATTTTTGGGGGAGGTGGCATTGTGGATTACATAAGAGTATCCATTTTTAATCAGAAAATTCACTGCTAGCCTTTGATGACTGGAGTGAAACTTACAGGTTAGATAGTAAGAGCTGTACTGTTGTCAAGGCAACTAAAGTTCAAGATCATCTAGTCTCTAGGCAACCTTTTCCAGACTGACCTCAAATGCTTTCCCAAGCTTTCTCAGGAAAGGTCCTTTCCTGCCTCTTATGGCTTTGGGGCCTCAAGAGAGAGAGAGCCCCGGAAACCCTGGAATGATTTGAGGCTTAGAATTCTTGAAAGAGATGAAATATATGGATTAGGTGGTAATGTCCACACTGGAAAGAAGCAGTCAGGTTATAGAGGAAGGAAGACAGTGTCTCCTTACCCTTGTATCTAAAACACATGAGCATCAAGTTTTTTTTAACAGTTACTGTTATGTTTCCATACTTTTTTTTTGGCTGCATCATCCAGCACGTGGAATCTTAGTTCCCTGACTAGGGATCAGACCTGTGGCCCCTGTAAAGGATGAGTCTTAACCATTGGACTGCCAGGGAAGTCCTATTCCCATACTCTTGATTCATGTAAGTCCTCCTGATGCTTGTCAAGGTCTGATTTATTACTGACTGCCAGCTCTTCAGTGAGTTGTGAGAGAAATAAGATGCTGTGTTACCAGCATTTGAGAGGATGGGTGGCCAGCATCCGAAAAGGTGAGACTGGTTGGTCTTGGAGTTCTCTTTCTGATGTCATAAGAAGTTACTGTTGCCATGGCAAACATAAGCTGACAGTTGTCTAGTGCTGGTGGCAATGGAGGTTCTATGGGGATTTGTCGCATGGCGATCGGGCTGCAGATTATTTTATGCTAAGCCTTGAGATACTTAAAAATGTCCTCATTTTTCTGAAGATCTTCCAGAGAAGTGAATCAGGCCACTTGAGTTTGGAACAGAAAAAACCTTATGCTGTCACTATTATTGGGCTGCAATTTTACATTTACTGGGGAGTGGCATGCCTTCTGAATTCAACCCAGCTGTTGGATTCATGCTAAATTTGATATTTTTCCTAAGGAAAAGTATTACTTAGGTTATCCTTTCAGTTACCTATTTAAAAGAGAAACCAAGGGCTAAAAATGCGCTTCTTTGGGTTTTATTATACATCTTTAGTAGCTTCTGCATTCCTTATTTAGCTCTCTTTTTTGGTTTCTTATTTTAACACTGCATTTGGTACTTAAGCATCTTTTTGTAGCTAAATATTCACCCACAAATGCAACCAGCCATGAAGACCACGGAGCTGTCATGGAAAGGAGAGAAGCTCTTATATCCCTTCTGTTAGCTGGATCGGTTGGTGAGGGTATCTGAGGGAGAAAATTAGAGAATTCTCAGCATAAAAATAAAAATATTAATCGTGGCAGCTCACGTTTTCTGAGCTCTCAGCCTATGCCAAGTGCTCTATGGATTAACTTCATTTGATCTTCACAGTGTAATCCATGGAGACCCCTGCTGCGGAGAGTACTCCTAGCCAACCCCGTTTTACACATAAGGAAATTGAGGCACTTGAAGAGCTACCAGCTACAGGCTGAAATAATTTTTTGTCGGGGGGGTCCTCACATTTATGCAAATTTTCCATTTGATTTCATGCTATACCCAAGTTAATTTTTTATGTAAAAATAACTTCCTGGGACTTCCCTGGTAGTCCAGTGGTTAAGATTCTGTGTTTGCACTGCAAGGGGTATGGGTTCAATTCCTGGTCAGGGAACTAAGATCCCATGGACCACATGGTGTGGCCAAAAAATAAAGCAAAAACTTCCTCCCCAAATCTTTCAGTAAATTGACGCATTAGGAAGGTGATGCTCTACTTGCCCACCAGCTAGCCCCAGTTAGGCACACAGCTGTTTGAGAAACACAGCTGTTTGAGAAATACAGAAAGAGTTATCAGTGATTTGGCCAATCAGTGAGTAGTTAGCCATAAATGGGAGAGGCCCGTGGGCGTGGGTTAAGGCCTGGTGCAGAGGCAGGGCCAGGGTGAGTAGGAGAGGATGGGTTGGTGTGTGCATGGGGCTTGGTGCTGGGGCACTTCATTGCAGAGGTCCTAGTTGAGTAGTTAAGACATGTGCTGGACTGAGAGGAGGATACAGAGGTAGTACGTGCCTTTCACGGTGTTTGTGATCTAGTCTGGGAGATCAGATACTTATATCAGGCTTATAGCTTTGCCTCATCACTTAGTACCTGGTTCAGATGTTGAGGACAGCAGGTGCTCAGAGAAGGCAGAGTGTGATCTTCCTAGAGTGGTTGGGAAAGCTTCATGGGAAAAGGGGAGACCAAAAATTCCCTGAACGATGGGTCCTACTCAGAAGTAGGAGAGAATGATGGCGTAGGCTAGTGAGTGATTCTGCTGGGTTTGCGTCTTGTTTGTTCTCTTTAATATTCACATGTATATTCCTTTATAGTCTGTCTCCAAATCTTACTTGTTTTCCCTTAGTTACTTTTTACAAAATTACTACCAAGAGAACAGGACCTTATGTGTTACTCTTAGATTGTTTTTTTCTTTTTTTTTTGGTCCAACTCAGGGATTGCCACTTGGTCAGCCGTCACTGGCAGGTGGTATTTTATGGGCATGTTCTTTATCTTTGCAGGAGCTGAATTTGAATGCACATGGGTGAGCCCCACACCCTTAGTCTGACACATTCTTTGCCACTACTCTTGTCTTAAACACCTGACCTGACTCCACATTGAGAGCTTGTGCTTTTGAAAACACTTGGTTTACAACTCAGGGTTTTAGGCTTCAAACCCTTGGGAAAAAGGAAAAGAGTTTTGATAAATAAGTGTCCTTAAGCGAAATTCCGTTTAGAACTTGAGAATCTTAGTTTAGAACCTGACCTACCCCTTTTCCGAATCTCATCTTAAAATTTCTTTCGCCTTTTTGCTAAAGAAAGTAGCATCTTGTCTTTCTGTTTTAAAGCCACTTTTACTTCTCTTCCCCTGAGTAGTGCCTGGCTGCCACAGAAAGAGTCGAGACTTAGGAACTGTGAATATTTAATAATTTTTAAAACCTAGAAAGCCCATTTATATTTAATTCATATGACTTTTCCCACTGCATATGACTGAAGGCTTGGAGAAAAAAAAAAATCAGCCTGAAGAATACTTCCAATATAAAGTAGTGAACAAAAATAGGATTAAAAATGGAAGCTTCCTTTAAACATAAAAATTTCAGTCTGTTACTTCACATACCTTTATCTTTCTTCTTGGTATTTATTTTGGCCGTTTGCTATCTTTTAGGTTAGTTACTGTAGTTGATAAAAGGCTGCCAATACCTAGAATAATTCCTCCTTGCTTTTTGGCTGATAACCCTTTTTTCTATATAGAGATGGTTCTGTGGCCAGTAAACTCCAGTGAGTACCTGTGGTTAGAACTGGTGGACACGCCCAGAAAACTCCCAGCACACTTCTGAGCTCTGTCTCCCTCTGACTTCAAGACAGGCCGCCTTCTTGAGTTGCTTTCTTTCCCAGCTTCGCAAAGATGAAATGGGCATTCGTCAGGATCTGGTGGTTTTGAATGAACGGTGGAGTGTGTGACGTGTTTATGACTTCCAAGGTCATTAGGAGAGACCAGTAACTTTGCTTCCTTCTGAGCTCTTGGGAAATGGGCTGGTTCTTTCTGAGGTTTCCTGTGGTGAGGATTGGTGTAAGTCAGGCCAAGAAGGTGGAGGGTAAGGAGCAGAAGTCGCTGGCTTCCCGCTTCTAGCCACAGAACCGGTAAGAAGTAAGCCAGCAGTGAGGGCGTGTTAGAAGGGCAGGCAGTGGAAGGCCTAGAGCTCCGAGCTCTCCGCTGAGGCCCTTCACATGTCACCTTCCCTTTGCGCAGGCTCTGAGTGACCGCTTCAGTGGTGAGATCCCCGATGATCAGATGGCACACAGCTCCTTTTTTCCAGACGAGTACTTCACCTGCTCCTCCCTGTGTCTCAGCTGCGGGTAAGTCCCCACCGTGGGAAAAGAGCCTCAGAATGGTGCTTCGCAGACTTCCCTGTGCCTGCAGATCATGTGAGGTCTGCTTAAGTTAGGCTGTGACTAAAGGATGGAGTGGGGCCTGAGATAGGGTATTCCAACAAGTTCCCCGGTGAGCCTGATGGTCCAGGGATCACACTTTGAGATTGCGGGGGATTCCAGGACACATGGTTATGAAGAATCCCCTGAAGATTCCAACCCGGTTTAGATGTGAAATTAACTTGTTTGGGTAACTTTCACTGCAGAAAGCTTTCAGTTCAGTTCAGGCGCTCAGTCATGTGTGACTCTTTGTGACCCCATGGACTGCAGCTCGCCAGGCTTCCCTATCCATCACCAACTCCCAGAGCTTGCTGAAACTCATGTGCCTTGAGTCGGTGATGCCATCCAACCATCTGTCATCCCATTCTCCTGCCTTCAGTCTTTCCCAGTATCAGGGTCTTTTTCAATGAGTCAGTTCTTCACATCAGGGAGCCAAAGTATTGGAGCTTAGCATCAGTCCTTCCAATGAATATTCAGGACTGATCTCCTTTAGGATTGACTGGTTTGATCTCCTTGCTGTCCAGGGGACTCTCAAGAGTCTTCTCCAACACCATGGTTCAAAAGCTAGCACAGAAAAGCAGAAGCAGGGAAGGCTTTGGGTTGCCTGTTTTCTGTGTTCCTCTTACCAGAGCTTTCAACTCGAGTCATTTCGCCGTGTGCATAGCACTGCAGTGGGTATCAGTCCTAGTGGATTCCTTTCATGATGAGGGCAGATGCCTAGAGCATATCAGCATTATCCAGGGAGTTTTCCAAATGACTGAGGCCTGGGCCTTGCCTCCAGGGTTTCTCACTTACCAGATCTGGGGTGGTGCCCTCAGCATTGGTGTATTTAAAACGCTCCTCAGGTGATTCTGATGTGTAGCTGAATTGAGAACATTGAGTTAGCGCAGTATTCTCCAACTTTATGTATGCATCACCTTGGGATTTTCTTAAATGCAGATTCAGAATCAGCAGGTCTCTGTGAGATTTTGTGTTTCCAGCTGGCTCCTGGGTGATGCTACTGGTCCTTTGTTACAGGGGAAACAGCAATGATTCTCGATGTTAGCATGCCTCAGGAAAACCTGAAGGACACATTACAACAGGTGGTTGGGCCTTGCTCCCAGTTTCTGATTCAGTAGGCCTGACGTAGGGCCTGAGAATTTGCCCTTCTGCTAAGTTCCCGGGTGAGACTGATGTTGCTGAATGGGGACCACACGTTGAGGCTCACTGGATTAATTTGAACTGTTGATAGCTACTCAGTCACAGGCCAGTGACTTGTTGGATGGAACTTGGGGGTTTAAATGCAGTGTGTCAGGGTCAGATTGTAGATTCTGTCTTGTAGACACTCGCCCACCTCTCTGCTGATTTCAGCACTTAATCATCTGATCCTGTCCTCCACATTTGCCCATATGGGGGAGACCTGAGCCTTTTCTGTTACGAATCGCCTTTTTGCATTGATCCCTATAGGCCACCTCCTGGGCCACCATGTTTGCTCTGAGTTTGTAGCAAGGACTTGGTTCTTGGATTATACAGTCCGTGCCTAGGGAGGACTGAGGCTTGTCTTAGAGAGGAAAGAGGGATGTTAGTTGCCAGTGTGACTTCCTTTAGCGGGCCCCAGCAAGAGAGGCTTAGGCTCTGTTGGATCATCACTTTTCCATTCTAACTGTGCCTCACCAGGGTTTCCAGAGCTTTCCCTTCTGTCACAATGAAATTCTAAAGTCCTGGTCCCTGGTTTTGCGTTGTCAGGATAGCAGAACTCACTGTTCATTTGGAAGGTTTTCTTGTTCAGCTTAAGCCTCCTCTTAATGCGTTGTCAGAATTTGAGGGTCAATTTTTGTTTTGCATCTTGGCAGCCTGTTCTGATTAAACTTCTTATTTCATGCTGTTTGGATGTTTGAGTTCCCTGAGGGCCGTTCAGGTTTTGTCTCTCATCAAGGTTCTGTCTTCTGGCTCCTCCATTCCTATTGAGGGACCTGGTGGTTTTCCGAGAAGAGATACCCTTTTGGCCCTTTCTCCTCATGCAAGAGTAATAGATACACTGCCTGTGTAGCACTGCTGATTGCAAGTATGAGAGAGGCCCTTAAGTTTCCAAAACACACGGCTGTCTCTCTGCTCAGTATTGGGGCCCAGTTAGAAACGGGGGGTTAACGCTTGTGCGTAAGCAGCCTTGGCTCCTTTTAGCAGCTTCATGTCAACTTTGGTGCCTCCTTCAGGGCTGGATGTAAGAACAGCATGAATCATGGGAAAGAAGGGGTACCTCATGAAGCCAAGAGCCGCTGCAGATATTCCCACCAGTATGACAACCGGGTTTTCACCTGCAAGGTGAGTCCACCCAGCCTCTCCTCCAGCAGCTGGCTTGCTGGCCACACTCCCCTCTTGGGAAGACTGGCTCAGGACCACTCTTGAGCCAGTATCCCAAAGTATTTGATATTCAAATTGAGTCTCTCTGGAACTTCTCTCCAGCTCCAGCCATTAAAAACTCACATGTCTGTTGCCAGGCGCCCCTTGGTTTATTTTTTTTAAGCTTAAATCCCCCCTTTATCCTGTTGAGTCTGTATGCCGGGTTCATCTACATTACTTGTTTATTCTTCAGAATGGAATTGCCCTTCAGAAACCCAGTTAGGATGGATTTCTCCTGTCTATGACAGGGATAGAATTTGTAGCTCAGTTTTGGGCCCCTGGGACGGGTACACATTCAGATCATAATCATTCAGGGCACGGACTTCTTTGGAGAAAGACTTTGCTCTGCTCTGCTAAAACCCAGGGTCTGTAAACCCTGGTTTGCAGGCAGTGGGGCCGGACGGGGGTATGGAGAGGCCAGGGGTCTGGTGGATAGAGCAGAAGCTGGCAGAGTGCCCCGTGTTTCAGGCCTGCTACGAGAGAGGCAATGAAGTCAGCGTGGTGCCCAAGACTGCTGCTTCCACTGACTCCCCCTGGATGGGTCTTGCAAAATATGCCTGGTCTGGGTGAGTTTCAGCGGCCGGCAGTTGGGTCTGTGTGTGTCTCCAGGCCCCTGGTGTGGGGTTCCAGTATCTGTCTGCCTACCTTGTAGGTACGTGATCGAGTGTCCCAACTGCGGCGTGGTCTATCGTAGCCGGCAGTACTGGTTTGGGAACCAAGATCCTGTGGATACGGTGGTGCGGACAGAGATTGTACACGTGTGGCCTGGAGTAAGAGCTGTTTTATTTTTCTGTTTTCTCTTCGGGTTGTCCAGTTATTCCTGTGTATGGGAGAGTGGAACTTGTTTACAATGATGATTAACCATGAATTTGGTTATATTTGGTGATTTAGGAAGATGTGATCTGGAGTGCCTTTTTTGTTCTAGACCCTTCATTTTTTTCCATTTCTTGCATAAATATTAGAAACACGATTAAAAATTGATATATAAACTGCCTTAGCAAATAAAACTTTATCTTTTCATATTCTCCTCACTCATTTTCCAAATGTATGTTTGTATAGATACAATTATAATTTATGTGCCACTTAACTGCTTTTTCTTGTACCACGGTTTTGCTTTGTTTCCATATTGCTTTCACTTTTCATGATTTTCATTTGTAATCACTATGTAATATTCTGTCTAATGTTATAGTTTGATTTCCCCATTCCGTTCACTTTGAGTGTTCATGCTGTTTATGATTTTTTTATTATCAAAGAAAATGCTATCGTGACCATCTTCATGTAAGAAAGCCTTTGTTTTGGAGTATATTCTTCTTGAAGTATATTCTAAGAAGTATAATTACTATGAACCTTTACTGTTTTTAAATTGGATTTTTTAATTCAAAATGTTGGAAAAACGAAACTGTTTATGAGGCAGTGATACAGTGCTTTCATTCTGCATTAAACCATGACTCATACTTGAAATTACCCATCAATCACAGCACATCCAAAGCCTTTTCCCTTCATGGAAGGAAGATAAGCAATTTTCTATGTGTTGTTTGCTTCAATCATGTCAGACTCTTTTCAACTCCACGGATTGTAGCCCACCAGGCTCCTCTGTCCATTGAATTCTCCAGGCAAGAGCATTGGAGTGGGTAGTCATTCCCTTCTCCAGGGGATCTTCCCAACCTCGGGATTAAACCCGGGTCTCCTGCATCATAGGCAAATTCTTTACCATCTGAGCTACCAGGGAAGCTCTTTTCTATAAGGGACTTACTTTACTTGGTGGTGTTCCCCTTTCTGGGTGATTCCTGAAGCAACAGATCCTAACCCAGCCTGGAGTGGGAGACCTCTTGGAGGAGGTGTCCTCTTTATAGGATTGTTTATTTCCTGGGTTGTATATCTCACAAGCCGAGTAGGTTCTGAATTGGACAACTGTGCACCGAGTCCTGTGGTCATCTTGAAGAGTAGTACCAGCAATGACTCATAGGGTGTGATGTTGTTTAGATGCCAAAGGGATTCTGTCCTGACCCGCTCTTCTCTGCCAGAAAATTTGTGGTTCTGAGTTGGCTGTGATGGGTGTATAACTCACTTGAGACCCCTCTCCCTCCTTCCCTTTACTCCCATCACTCACAACATGATGGGAGCCTGCATTTTCATTTCAGACTGATGGATTTCTGAAGGACAACAACAACGCTGCCCAGCGCCTCTTGGACGGGATGAACTTCATGGCTCAGTCGGTGTCTGAGCTTAGCCTTGGGCCCACCAAGGCTGTGACGTCCTGGCTGACAGACCAGATCGCACCTGCCTACTGGAGGCCCAACTCCCAGATCCTGGTACGGTGGCAGGATGCCCTGGGTCCCTGGCATGGCCCATTCTCGTTGTGTTGCTTCGCCCTACCCTTAACTTGTTCTGCGAGGAAGGCTTGGAGTCTCTCTCCCAGCCAGATTAGCTTCCAGAGTGTTGGAAAGGGTGGGACACACTTAAGACAGCTTGTGTCCTCTTTGTCTGCTGATTTCCCCTGTTATTTTCCAAGTGTTTCCATTGTGTTGGATTTTGGTTTACTTCCGCACAAGAGCCAGTTGTTATTGATCAAGTGTTTGAAGTCATACCTATAGACTGTGGAGGAAAGGACACCTTTAGAGGTCATTTAGGGTCATCCCCAGCTTGATACACAAACCTCACAGCTCCCACATCAAGGGAGCCCCCAACTTTGACCCAAACACTTGTGACAGGAGACCTGTTCCTCCTCAGCCTCTCAGAGGCTCATGAGAAGCCATGAAAGATGAATCCTCGTTGCTTTTATGGCTGGAATTACATAGTCCTTTCTGAGATCCCTGTGACTCAGCCAGGTGGATGTGAGTACCTTTACAGCGCTTCTTGGAAGAAAATGTTAATTACAGCTCTGCTTCAGTAGGGTGTTCCATGTGGCTGGAGGTCTTAGGTCCCCTCCTTTGGGACCATCGGGGTCTTGCCATCCTCAGATGATCCTCAAGGCTCCCCAGGTTGACTTTCTCAGCTGAGCAGACATGAATGACACCTGCCTCTCTGTTTGTTTTGGGCTTGGAACAGAGCTGCAACAAGTGTGCTACATCCTTTAAAGATAACGACACCAAGCATCACTGCCGGGCCTGTGGGGAGGGCTTCTGTGACAGCTGTTCATCCAAGACCCGGCCGGTGCCCGAGCGGGGCTGGGGCCCTGCACCCGTGCGGGTGTGTGACAACTGCTATGAAGCCAGGAATTCCCAGTTAGGTAACGTGGGGCCCAGGAGCCACAAGGTGGAGGGGGACCCTCTCCTTGGTACTGGGTGTTGGGAATGGGACTCTCACCTGCCCAACCACCTTCCTCCCCGCCTCACTCTTTGAGAGCAGTCCCTCACCTAGTCTTGCCCAGGCATCCTCTAAGCTCTTTGTCTGCTGGGTCCAGGGGGTGCTGTTCCTTAGGTAGGGGAGGGTTAAAGCTGTCCTGTGTTTACCATATGCTTAGACTGAGTCCTCTCCTGGAGGAGGTTCTAGGTCATGCTCCTGGCCCACTGTAAAGGAAGGTTATAAAATAGCCCCTGAGGGCTGAGGTAAAGGACTAGCAGACCTCACTGGCTGTGGTGTGGGTGCCCACAGCCCAGACCCTTGCCACCCTTACAGAACAGCACAGGGTGCCCTGGGAGAAGCATCTAGAATTTTTCATTTGGGAAATGACTCGGTGGTGATGGCGTTTCCTTCATCATTGTCTGCAGATGTCACTGAGGCACAGGGGGACGATGAAGGCGGGACGCTGATCGCTCGGAAGGTGGGCGAGGCCGTGCAGAACACTTTAGGAGCCGTGGTGACCGCCATTGACATACCACTAGGTGGGCCTGGCAGTGCCTCTCTCGTGGGCAGTGTGTGTGGGTGAGGGCTCGCGAAGTGCCGCGCCTTGGGCTGTCGTTTTGTCAGCCTGCTGACCTGGATTGAGTCAGGCAGCAAGAAGGCGACTGAGAATTTACTTTCCCTGCTTCATGCTGAATACCTTGGTGGTTTCATGTCTATTCTTGGAGGCCCTCCTCTTAGGCCATCTACTGCTGCATAATAAACCACCTGAAAATGGAAAGGTTTAAAACAGTCACGTCTCACAGGAAAGGCAAGTATTCTTCTCTAAGTGGTATTGCCTGGAATTACTGCTGGATTTCCCAGTATGGCAGCTGGATGGGTCTTGGGGGGCCAAGCCAACCTCATTACACGCTGGGTGGCCTGGCAGGGGTGCCTCGAAGGTTGGGCCCTCACTTACACGCTGGGTAGCCTGGCAGGGGTGCCTCGGAGGTTGGGCCCTCACTTACACGCTGGGTGGCCTGGCAGGGGCGCCTCGGAGGTTGGGCCCTCACTTGCACGCTGCGTGGCCTGGCGGGGCGCCTCGGAGGTTGGGCTCTCACTTGCACGCTGGGTGGCCTGGCGGGGCGCCTCGGAGGTTGGGCCCTCACGCTGGGTGGCCTGGCGGGGCGCCTCGGAGGTTGGGCCCTCACTTACACGCTGGGTGGCCTGGCGGGGCGCCTCGGAGGCTGGGCCCTCACTTACACGCTGGGTGGCCTGGCGGGGCGCCTCGGAGGCTGGGCCCTCACTTACACGCTGGGTGGCCTGGCAGGGGCGCCTCGGAGGCTGGGCCCTCACTTACACGCTGGGTGGCCTGGCAGGGGCGCCTCGGAGGCTGGGCCCTCACTTGCACGCTGGGTGGCCTGGCGGGGCGCCTCGGAGGTTGGGCCCGGGAGAGCTTCCCCCTCGCCCCCATCCCCTGTGTTCTCCACGCCTCTGCACACGGTTGCTCCAGTGCTGGTGACTCCTTGCGTAGCGCCGCAGGGCTCTCAGACAGCTTGGGCCTGGGAGCTGACTCTTTCACTGGACTCTGCTGTAGTCACAGAACCTGCCTAGATTTGAGGCAGGGGGCAGGGCCTCGATCTGCCACACCAGCCCGGCTGTTATCTCTTTAAAATTTAAGAGAGCCACTCACCTGATGTGAGGGGGCGGGCTTGTAGTAACCAGAGGGAGATGAAGGGAAACCTGCCAGTGTGTGGAGGGCTTAGGCAGGGCTGACCGGGCCTGGGGCATTCCAGCCCTTCATAGGGGAGAGACCAAGGGCTCCTGGGTGGCTGTGATGACAATTGCTTGGATCAGATTTAATCACAGAATGAGCTGATGACAAGCTTTTGACTTGAGAGTGTAGAAATAGATGGATTTATCCAGCCTAGGGCTCAGGTTGCATCTGCTCTCAGACCAGGAGGGGCGGGGGCCGCCCTTGGCAGAACCTGCCAACTGTGCTTGACAGGCACTCACCTGCTGAGCACTCACTGGCTGTTGGGTCCCAGCTCATCAGATACTTTATTTCTTGTAATCTTGTAACTGCTTTTGAAGGTGGGTTGTTACAGATGAGTAAACCCAAGGCCCTGAGAATGTAAGGAACCTGTCTTAATTCCACAGCTAACTGACTCAGGCTCAGTGGAACTGGGATGAAGCTGTGTCCTGACTCCAAAGCCCGCACTTCACCATTGCTCCAGTGGTTCTTAATTCAGCTGTAGTTTAGGCTGACCTGGAGAGCGTAGTGGACAGGCACCTATCAGTGCCTGGGCCCCAGCCCCAGACATCCTGACCCGGGTGCTAGGGGGTGAGGGAGACCTGGGTGGAGGGGGTGATGTGTGTGCGGTTAGACTGTGAGCCAGTGAAGTGTCTGCCGCTGGCGTTTCGCCCGGTGGGATTCGGGTGCTGGGTCCCGCGTGTGTCGCCTGTCATGTCCCCTTCCGTGACACAGGTCTGGTGAAGGATGCAGCCAGGCCGGCGTACTGGGTCCCGGACCACGAGATCCTGCACTGCCATAGCTGCCGGAAGGAGTTCAGCGTCAAGCTCTCAAAGCACCACTGCCGGGCCTGCGGACAGGGCTTCTGTGACGAGTGTTCCCACGACCGCCGGGCTGTCCCCTCGCGAGGCTGGGACCATCCTGTCCGAGTCTGCTTTAACTGCAATAAAAAGCCCGGTGACCTTTAACCCCAGCTCCCTCTCCGAGTCCTTCACAATTCCTTAGGTTCTCAGGGTTAGAAACGAGGTCGCATTGAGGTAGGCCCTCCTGCTGGTCACCTGTGGCGGTGTGTGTCCTCTCTCCTCATCCCGGGGGCCCCTTTCCCGCTGTGGGGTGGCAGGTGGCGGGGTGCAGACAGGGAGTCAGGGCGAGCCGGGCAGTGGGCCTGAAGACCTGAACCCCCCAGGGCGGGGGGCCCGAGCAGTTTAGAGCAAAGGGGAATGAACTCAAATCCACTACATTTTATTTCAGTTAAAAATAATAAGTACGTAAATATACACACACACACACACACACCCATATATACATACGAAAGGAACATGGAGCGTGTTCAGGCTGCCGCTGGCTGTGAACACCTGCGCGGTCCGTCCCCAGCAGGAACCCCGGGGGCAACGGGCAGCAGGTCTTCCCCCCATAAAACCGAGCCAGGTCCAAGGCCACTGCATTGCTAGCCTCCCTCTGCTGTTTCTCTCCGAGCCTTTGAAGCCTTTGTGCCCCTCGGCTGCCAGGGTAGGAGTTTCCCAGACACCTGCTGGGCGTGGCCTGTGGGGGAGCTCCCTGGGCCCTCCAGAGTCAGATCCCAGTCCCTGGCCTAGGCCTGTTTCAGAGACCACCCAGCTTCACGTGCAGGTCACGGATGGGTGGAGGGTGTGGTAGGGTCCCCGGACCCAAGGAGTCCCCGAGCACAGGTAACGTGACGACTGTCAAGCTGGGGGAGGGGGGGTGGGCACGGAAGGAGACAGGCCTTCCCCAGCACTGTTCCCTGCTTGTCGATGGTTCCATTCACTCTACCATTTGGCTTTCCCTACCCCGCAGCGGAGCATCTGCCCCACCCTCCCCTCCCAGCCCCCTCGAGCCCACCATCTACTGAGTGTTGCACTAGGGTTCTTGCTTATTTTGAAGTGTCTTAATCCTTTATTCCCAGACACACGACCCCTTGAGCTATTGGACAGGTGGTCATGAGAAATCTTCCAGGGAAACAGTACAGAACGGACTGTTAGTGGTTTTTTTCCAAGTATATACAAACATTTCAGCGGATCATTATGAAAAAATTCTCCAGCCCTGGCAAGAGAAGTCAGATGAACTTTCTGTTTCTCAAAGAGCTGGGACATCCGTATTTGTCATGACTGGAAAGAGACCGTTGTGCTGAAATCCTGTCATCATGGTGGATTTTATCGTCAATGGCCAAAAACGAATTTGAAGTGACACAGTTCTTGACTGAACTGGGGGGTGGGCCAAGTTCAGGGAGGTAGGTGGTGGTCACTCTTGGCATGTCACTGTGACGTGAGCCCTGGAAATGTGTTGGTCCCTCTCAGACCTGCTTCCTTCCCGCCTCCCATGGCCCAGTGACTGAGGCCTGCTCTAGTACTGTGTATTATTAAATTCGCCGTTATAAAGGAATCTTCCTGTGGAATATGGACTCTGGCCTCTTTCCTTTAAGTTCATCAGTATTATCTTGCTACCTCTTTCTGGTTGATGAAAAGTGAAAAAGTGAAGTTGCTCAGTCGTGTCTGACTCTTTGCGACTCCATGGACTGAAACCTACCAGGTTCCACTGTCCATGGGATTTTCCAGGCAAGAATACTGGAGTGGGAGACCATTTCCTTCTTCAGGAGATCTTCCCGACCCCAGGGATTGAACCTGGGTCTCCCGCATTGTAGGCAGACACTTTACTGTCTGAGCCACCAGGGAAATCCCTTAGTTGATGAAAGCTGGTGGCTTTTCAGAGCAAAAGCCAAGTGAGAGGTGTATGTTACCTGTTTGTATCTCAGTTTACTCCCCGGGAATGCTCTCCCAGAAGAGATTAGGTGTTACTAGTGACCTGTGGAAACACTGGGAGGAGACTCTTCTCTTGTATCTGTCCCTTTGGTACTGATCCTCTGCCCTGCCTTGCTTTGTCCAGCTCCCGGTGTACAACTGTTCTCCACCATCTCCTGTCCAGTTGTGTGGGGCCGCCCCTGGGTGTGGTGTCTGCTGGACCACACAGGAAAGATGCAGAAAAGTCTTCCGAAATCGCTTTTTTCACTAGTCAGACCAGGAGAGGAGAAGGTAACCCGGTGTCAAAATAACCAAAAGGTCTCTTTTTTTTTGTCCTACACGCCCAGTGTTCATCTTGGTTTTGTGGTGGCTGCTTTAGTTCAGATGAGGCCAAGAGTGCAAGTGGGTGGGTGGTAGGAGCAAGCAGGGAGATAGGTCTAGAAGTCACCTGTAGGAAAATTAGGTTTAAGGAGATCTTACACTTCCAGGACTGCAAGGAGATCCAACCAGTCCATCCTAAAGGAGATCAGTCCTGGGTGTTCATTGGAAGGACTGATGCTGAAGCTGAAACACCCAATACTTTGGCCACCTCATGTGAAGAGTTGACTCACTGGAAAAGACCCTGATGCTGGGAGGGATTGGGGGCAGGAGAAGGGGACGACAGAGGATGAGATGGCTGAATGGCATCACTGACTTGATGGACGTGAGTTTGAGTAAACTCCGGGAGTTGGTGATGGACAGGGAGGCCTGGTGTGCTGTGATTCATGGGATCGCGAAGAGTCAGACACGACTGAGCGACTGAACTGAACTGAACTGACACTTCCAGGGCAAAAGTAAAAATTCCATTCTGTCTAACACAAGGGGGTCGAATAGATTTCTTGAGCAGGAGACCCTTTTGGCTCTCTCACTCTTTAGCAGACCTAAGGCAAACTGCTTTCTTTTCAGTTTTTTTTTCTTTCCCCAGTATATTGGAGTGATCTTCACCTGCTTCATAGGGTCCTAAGAATTAAAAGGGAATAATGGTGGCAAAACACACTCAGTGTCTAGATGTGGTAAGTGCATGCTGGGGAAACTAAGCGCCCTGGAGGTTTCTGTGAAGCTCAGACTCAACGGTTAGACGATTACAGATGAAATGGAGTGGAGAACAGCTTGCACAGAGGCCCAGGTGAGGGTGAAACATGTCCCAAGAGAAGGGGCAACAGGGTAAGGCATGTGTGTTCACATCTCGAGGCCACGTTTTATTCCGAGGCACAAGAAGCCATCGAGGGATCTTTGGGGAAGGTCATTCTTTGTGGCGGTGGCCTAGAGAGGCAGACTTGAAGGAGCAGGCCCAGAGGCTTCTACCAACGTAACATGAATTTAGCCTGCAGTTGTTTTCAGAGATGGTTACATGGAACATTTAGACCAGGACAGAGTGAGGGCTCACAGGTAAGAGGTAAGCGGGCAGTACCCTTGTTGGGGGCACTGAGTGTTGATCTGTGGGCATTTCTGGTGACCATTGTGTGCTACTGTTCTCATCTGTTAAGGCCACAAGCAAGCAAACAGCAAAGAGTTTATTGGAGCCTGGTGCTGATGCCACCGTTTGTTCTAGACCTTTCACTGTCATCCGGAGGGTCAGGGCAAAATGCTCAAACATATCTGCAAGTGAAAAACGCCTCCAGAGTGTGTGACAGACTTAGTCTTTGGGACGCTCTTGACAAGCCAGTGTGCAAAATGCTTTATCAACTTCACAGTGAAGTTTAACCACTTTTCACATCATCTAGACCAAATGTTAGGAGCAGTGACCACTAACCAAACATAAAGAACAGATTGCTAAATTAAGAAGTTTTGATTATGTCCCCATCTCCTCTTTTTGTTTAAGCCTAAGGCAAACATACAACTAATTCTTTGACAACTATTATTTGCCTAGTAAGTAACTTGGGTTGTGGCACAGTTGATAAGGAGTTAGGAAGGTGTTTAATGTGATGTGCTCAGTCATGTCCAACTCTTTGCGACCCCATGTTACTGCAGCCCACCAGGCTCCTCTCTCTGTCCATGGGATTTTCCAGGCAAGAATATTAGAGTGGGTTGCCATTTCCTCCTCCAGGGGATCTTCCTGACCCAGGAATCGAACCTCCGTCTCCTGGGTCTCTTGCATTGCAGGTGTTGCTGCTGGTTATAGCAGGTATAACCACCGGCTACATTTCAGAGCTCATCAGGTACTTTTTTGAGTAGTCAGTTGTCTCCTGTCTCTGAGAGACAGTGTACTGTTCAAAAGTGGACTGAGTAGCCACAGCTTGTCTGCAGTACAGAACTGTGGCAGAAGCTCTGCACTAGAGGTGCAATACCAAAGACGCTCTCTGTAGAAGGCAGATCATGTTATGAACAAGCTTGTGAGAACTTAGAACTTCGGGGGGTGAAAGTATGAGTCATATTAGGGTCATAGCTTAGCACTTATGCTTGTTTGTGCTCTTTGGGTGGGGGCATCTCACCAAAATCAATCTAAAACATTCTGCCAGACCTTTCAATCATGCAGCTATTTCCTGGGTCCTCCATGCAGGTCAGCATACCAGGGCTGCAGAGATACAGGGGCGATGTCTAAAGGATTGAACACCTAAGAATTCTGGTAATTGGCAAGCTTCTTAACCTTTGAGGGCCAGAGCCAGAAAAATTTACTTACTTGGTGATTAAATATGAAATGCTAGCATTGCCCCAAGCCGCTTTGCGATTTCTCCTTAGCACTAGCAGTGTGATACCCAAGTATTGTCAGCAACTGGAGGAGTGTGGAAAGTAGAGGACGTGGTCTCGTCTGGTACCAAGTCCCAGGTCTCTGCTTCCCAGGTCTGTGATCTGTGGTCAGTCAGTTTCTCTGCCCAGAAAAGGATGCTGATAATTTTTGTATTATTACTACTGCCCTACCTCCTTTACAGGTTGTTTTAAGGGTCAAGTCAGGTTAAGATAGGGGAAGTCATTTATAAAAGCTAAAGCTCTGAAAACATTTATTATAACATACAGCTCATCTATTGGATGACCATTCTGATACTCTAATGAGTTTTGGATTTGTTTCTCTGTACACTTAAGTCGTAGGACGGTTCTGGCAGGACACAGATGCGTAACACTCAAGGGGGTAACTGTAGAGTGTTTTAATTGGTGAAGCACACTGGACTAGCAACAGAGAGATGCAGTTACCAGCCGCAGGTCTGGAGGGACAGATGGAGAGAAGCTCCTGGGATCCAGAGAGCTGTGTTCCAGCAGAAGCTGCAGCCTGGGGTGGAGGAGCACAGCCACAGCCCACCAAACCCCAACAGCCGCGGAGCCAGAAACGAACACTCCCCCCAAGCTCCTGCCCTCTGCTTTCCTGCTGTTACGTCTGATTGGCCGAACCCAACCCGGGCCAGGGAGCCTGCTGAAAGTTTTGCAGCAAAGCCATGAAAGCTGGCCTCAGTCTCCATCTTTTGTTCCCTCACCCAAGATCTGAGCAGATGTTGTTGTAGCTGGTTTGATGCTATAGCAGCCAAGCATCAGAAGGTTCTAAATCATGAACAGAAGCAATGCACCGTGTTGTGGTTCTTTATTTGGTAGAAAGATAAGCTCTTTGTATTAACACTGTATAAACATCTCACAAACTGCTGCTCTTGGATTACAAAAAGGCAAAGCCCATTTTCTTTGAATTGGGGACCTTGAATCGGATGTTCAAGTCACCATGATAAAATCAGGCGCTGCTGTACCTAACATTCTGGAAGGTGCTTCAAGAAATGCATGCTAAGGCCTGCCTAGTATCTGAAAGGATCCATCTTTCCTTTGAAAGCCAATGAATGGTAATAAATGAGAATCCCAGAGATCTGACACTGGTGTTCAGTGAGTTTGAGAAGGCGAATTTAATGATGACCAACTCAGCCTTAAAAATCTTCCTCTAAAGACTCAGAGAAATGACTTCCCCTTCTCACTTGGCTTTCTCAAGGATGTCTTTCTGGGACCCAGGCACTGACTACTAACAGTCTCATCAGGCTTCTTGAAAGGGCTTTTGGTGAAAAAAGCAGCTTTAGTTACTGTCTACCTTCAGCCTTTAGAAAATTATTTTTTGTTAAAAAAAGAGGGGGAGAGAGATCCTAAGGAATTCAACAAGAAATAGGCACCTTTTATGAAAAGGACTTTCAAGGCTCTTGAGCCCACAACTTAACTGAAATCACTTTACTGAAGTATCTCCACATAAAACATAGCACCTCTTCCTCAGCAGCTGGATGGATGGTACATGTGCACATAGACCACCCACTTAAAATGCCCTCACTGGAAACAGCAATTGTGGCAAAAATACGGCTGCCTTAGCTCCCTTGAGTCACGTTCACATCCCTCCAGGCCGCACCCTGCAGTCAGCTGTAGGAGAAACAGTAAAGGTCCTGCCGGACGGCCATGAGCAACCCTGGCGCTCCCCGGGCGCCGCCAAGCCGAGAAGAAAAGGCCACGCTGGGAATGTCGGCCTTGGAGGTGGGGTATGGGGAGGGTATGGTTCTGAGCAGTTGGCCATCGTGGAGGCTCCAGATTCTCGTGTAGCAGTCCTGGCCCACTAAGAGAGAGGGAAGACATGCGCAGGTCAGTGAGAACACAGAGGAGCAGTGGTGGGGGTGGAGGGGGGCGGCGGTACTGTGGCCCTGGCTTCCATGACTCCTAAGGGCTAGAGGTGATCCCACATGAGCCAAGCAAACTCACAACGGAAACTGTCTCTGCAGATAAGATGTCCCCTTTGAAAATTAAGGTTACAGGTTGCCCTGGTGCTCCAGAATCATGAGTTGCCGGTGTTCAAAGGGACAAGACGCAAAGGCTGGCTGGGACACCCTGGGTGGTTCATGGGGCATCTTGGGCATCAGGTGGCCCATTCTGTTTCTCTTGGTGACAAGGGCTGTTCAAGAGGGAGCCCAGCCCACCTGTTCTAGATGACATGCGGCTCATTTCCTTTTTGAGATAGTAACCAGGACGATCTCTTTAATTTCATTACATCCCGGGGCAAACTGGGTGATAACGCTCTCCAAAACATTTTCTGCTTTAATGGTTCAGTTTGTAAGATGTTATAGTCTTCAGTGTTCACAGGTCAGAGGAAACACACCAGACAACACTGATTACAGCAGCCTGGGCAGGCAACATGTGCTACTGGGGGAAAAGGCAGACCTTAGGCGTCACGGACTTCCATGTGTGCTTCTGACCATCCGAGGTGACTCTATGACCTTAGGGGTGGGTCAGTTCAGGTTGTGCAGTTCAAGGATTACTGCAGCCAGCCCACTCCCCACACCTGCTTTCTCAATAAGGCTTGTATCTTTTCTATCGTCCAGAACACAGAAACTCCTCTGTTGTGAAAACTTGTGGAAAATAGACTTAAGGAAGTTAATTGCTGGTACGGTGTGGTAAGAGTAGTAAAAAATTCTAAGAAAGTTCTAGAAAAGTGATGCTTCTCAGCCACAAAAATTTCAAAGCAGATAAGTACTTTCTGTAGGAGTATTAGAAACTTTGAGATCTGTGAAGACTGAGAACATACTCCTTAATGACAAGGGCCTACTGTTTCATTTGTCAGACTGTCAAATAATTATATAATCTGTCACCAACTTGTAGCTCCTCTCAAGGGGGCTTGGTGCTCAAAAGCCCTGCTTCTCTTCTGCACACCACAGATCACAGTGGGGGCGGTAAAGGGGCCGGGCCTTGGTTCCTTTACAGTGACCTTCATCTCTTTTCTCAGCATCCTCTGGTGGAAACATGAGTACAAAGAACAGGGAGCTCAAGCTTTTCGACAGGACGGCCGCCCTGAAATGCGGACCTGGTGAACAGACTTAACCCCCACACCCAGGGCTCCTAAGTTGCTGTGTTTTATTGCTCCTCACTGGCCTGTAACTGAAGTCATGTCTGCCCAGTGGCGTGGAGACAAAGGGCTATCCACATGCTGAGGGTTAAACTGTTGCTCACTGATGGCCAACTCTGTGCTCCATCTTGACTCCCAGAGCCCAACTGACTAACCCCCCCTTTATTCAGCTTGTCATAGAGTCATGTCTTATCTGCTTTAGCGGCAGGGGGTCCTAAGGGTCAGGGTCAGTGGGATGGAGCGCCTCTTCCCCAGGTACCTGCCACCACGATTCCTTCCTCCTCGTGCACGTGTAGGGGCAGGTGGGCATACTCGTTCACGTGCCCTTCGTACTGCCTGATGCACTTAGTGGTCCTCAGGTCCCACAGCTTGATCTGTGGGAAGAAGCACAGAGGCTGTCAGGAAGGGTCCAGCAGGTACTGGTGAGCCCCAGGCATGAAAGCCAGAGGGGGCGAGGTGGTCTCCACAGACCTCTTCAAGTGAGAAAATCTGTCGCCATACTCCAAGTCCGAGAACCCGTCAGAGGCACCAGGACCAGTACCCCATCCCTTTAGATCAGACGAGGCTCCGAGTAGGTGGCAAAGCAGCTGCCCTGCACATCTGGCACCTCACCTGGCCTCCACGTGCCTCTCCCCTGCCGCGGTCCGACATGAGTCTCTCCTGCCGAGCCCCTCCCCTGGCCCAGAGCAGCTCCTATGGCTGGAGAGTCAGCGGTACCCGTACCGTTCCGGCCATGTCGGACGCCATCAGGCACTGCTCTTCTTGGAGGATCTGCACGGAGGTCACTGCAGAATCGTGGAACAGGCGGGTGGCCTTCCAGCCCTTGCCCTGATTTTGACAACGCAGATCAATGGCAAAGATTTCACCAGAACGACAGCCGTTAAACAGCAAAGGAGCCTGTGGAGAGAAGGACTGCTTGGTACCTCCCTCCAAGGCTGTGAAGGCTGAGTCCCCCAGAAGACACCCCCTGCCTCCCTTCTCTAGGTCAGAGGGATGGGTAGAGGCAGGCTCGTTAGGGTTCGCTTCTCAGTGGAGACAGAAGGGTTTCTTATCAAAGGTCAAGAACTGGACACCATGTGTCCCTCCAGTGTCCTCCCTGCTGGCTGCAACGGGCCCCTAAGGCCTCACCGTGAACCCCTCCCCTCCCAAACAGGGGGGGTGTCCCGTCCCCACCCAGGCTCTGAGTGAGAAAGTAGGTGATGAGAGGGGAGTAAGAGACTAGAAACCCAGGGAAGACACGGGTCCCAAACAGAGTGTGAAGACGGCTGAGGAAACCTGAATGGTGAGTTCTGTGCTTATTGCACAAAGGCAGGGCGCCGCATCTCTTCCACCCTTTGAAAGAAAGGTGGCATTTTCTACAGGTCAGGTCTTTGAAATGTAGTAAGGACCAGAATTTTGATTTTAAATTTATACAATGGGTAGCTTGACAGCTGCATATAAAACTGTTACAAGTTGGGACATAATTTGTACATTAAAATTTTTTTACTGTCCTGCTAGCTAATCTAAGCACTCAAGAACGAACACTTCATTGAAACTTTAGGAAGTTGTTGAAAGCCAGCTGAGCCAGGCCTTTCTAGATCAGCCAAATTTCATTCAGCGCTGACTTATTCACCCAGGTATCACTTCAGATGTCCTCTTTTTCCCTGTAAATGAGGGAGGAGGACTAGATTCCACACAAAGGAATCCCATTCCAACCCAGCACAAGGTCCCCTCTTGGGAAACTGTGTTAGGCCCTCCCCAATCCAACCAACCGTGAGAGCAAACTGCTGGGTCAAGACGTCACTCCTGGTCCCAAACGACTGCCGGTGTCCCGTCACCACGCTGGTCACCAGGACTCGCCGAGACAAGCCTGACAGAGATGGACACGGGGCGGACAGTGTCACCCTGGGTCTGGGGAGAGGAACTGCGGACCGGCGTTTCGGATCTGTGCTCTCCCTCAGCCTGGGCAGCAGGGCAGCTCACCTGTACTAAAGCAGTTGTTTGCCTGGATGTTCAGGGACCACGCACAGGACCAGGCCCCGGGGATCCGGAAACTGCAGAGCATGCCAGGCCGGTCTCCTGCTGAGGGGACAGCAGCAGTGTTTCAAGTCCAGCTGTGTGATCTTAAGCTAACTTTTTGTTAATTTTTTAAAATCAATAAAACATACATGAAAGGCACAAGTCATACTATACTATACTATGAGTTTTCTCAAAGTAAGCAGAGCTATGTAACCGCCACCTAGGTTAATAGAATATTCTGAGTAGCCTGACACCTTTCATGTTTCTTCCCAATTACTACCCTCCTCACTCCTCCCTAAAGGAAACCATGATCCTGACTTCTAAGAGCATCTCTTGGTTTTGTAAGGCAAATTCTGAACCGCTTTTTGCCTCAGTTTTCTTATCTGTAAAATGATGATACTACATCCTCCTGCTTCACAAACTGGCTGTATGATGAAATGCCAGGCACAAGGCTAAGTGTGCATTAAATCACTTAATCTTCCATGTGACCCGAGGGGGCAGATGTTTATTTTCCAGAGGTTAAGCAATCTCTTCAAGATGGTTAGGGGCAGAGCTGGGACTCATGCCAGGTCTACCTGAGAGGCCTGATCCTTGTCTCTGATCCTAATTCTCTGAAACTGAAAACTTCATATCCAGAATGCTGCCAGGCCGTCGGACTGCCTTTATCCATACAGAATTTAAGTATCCCTGACAGCACCTTCCATACAGTAGGAGCTTAACAGATGCTCTCTTGGTGATCTGTATATAGGCAGCCTAAGTAAATATTTTCATCTCCTATGTTGGTTACACATGCTTTTAACTGTTCTAGCTGCTGAAAAGACCTAAAAGGAGGGGAAAAGTGAAGATGTACATGCTTCCAGTACAAATCCTGGGTGGGGTTTAAGGAATCCTCCCAGGTTCTCTGCAGACCGTCCCCACCCTGCAAGCTCCCACTTGGACTCACCAGCCTGTGGTCCCCACCCGTCTTGTCCAAGCCATCACCACGGAGCTTATGCTGCTGCTGGCTGCAGCTCCTGGGAGGCAGAGGACAAAGATGCCCCCGAGCACCTCCTTATCCATCAGTACCTGCATGATTACTGACAAACAGCGATGTGGGGAGCAGGGTGACACAGCCCGGAGTCTCTGCAATTCCCATGAGGCACAGCCTAGAAAAACTGTTAAGGACAGTCAAGAACGAGTCTCCTCCAAGAGGAGAATGGGCATCAGCACTCTTCAAAAAAATCATCCACGTTTAACAGGCTCACATTTTCCATATTTAGTTTTGGATATTTTAAAAGGAAAAAAATGTCACAGATACACTTAAAGGCCCCTTTTTAACTTCCCCCACACAGAGAAACTTGCTACTCTAAAACAGGTCTGAGTTCTAGGCCTTACTACTACACAGTATTTGTCCAAAAGCAATGTAAAGAAGCATTTGATTTTAAAATACATGTAAATGGCATCACACACAATCTTCTACAACTGTTCAATGTGCATTGTTTCTGAGATGTAATTGTGGTCATATTTGTAGCTCTGGTTCAACCATTTGCACAACAGAGCACTCCTTTGTATTAACAGACCACAGTTTATTTCTCCGGTCTCCCGCTGCTGGGCACTGAAGTGGGTTTTGCCCCTCGCCCGCACCCTTTTTTCCTCTCTTCTTGTCCTTCTGTCTTCCACTCCCATGTATGGGAAGCTTCTCTTAAGAGTTTCTCACACCTGTGATAAGGATTTCATTTTACACAACAGTGTGCCCTATACACACAAACATTTGAAACAGGAGTTGCATAAAACATTCACCCTTACTAAATAGGAAACTGGCATTTCCCAGCAGTTTTCCCCATTCTCCTCCTACACCAAAACTTGGCACTATCAGACCTTAAAAACTGTGTTTATCTGAATGGGTATAAATGATCTTTTAACTTGCATTTCTCTGACTACATCTGATTAGTCATCAGGTTTCCCTTTATTTGAGCTGTCACTTTATATCCTTTGCCTGCTTTTCTACTGGACCGTCTTCTGATTTGGTTCCTTTCCCTTCAGAGTTTCAACAGGAACCTGTGTTTACTCCCTACTTCCTCGCCTTTTACTCTTCAACCCACTGAAGTCCAGGTCAGACCCTCATCTTTTCAGTGAAACGTTCTCCCCATGGTCTCCAATGAGCTCTCAATACCTAAACCCGATGAATGCCTTCCAGTCCTGCCCTGAGCCATGCAGCAGTTTCTAACGACACACTCCTTCTTGGCTCCATAAGCACTCCCCTGGTGTTCCATCCTTGGACCTTCTATCACTAAGATACCCCAGCCTAGGAACTAAGCCCCTTAAACCCGTGTCTCTCCTCCACCTCTGCTCATCAGTTCACTCTCTCCCCACTACTCTTGGTCCTGCAGCAGCCTTCCCTCCAAGGTCTCATCTTCACAATCAGCCACCCTCACTGCTATGTCAGAAGTGAATCCATGACCACCATCCTCCAGGGGCATCCCATAGTCCTGAGGATTTGCTTTTGCAAGGTCCTACCTAGCCAAAGACATCATGGATACCAAGCCACTTACTGCTGCCAAATGTGCCAAGCTCTCTTCTCACTCTTCCTTCTAATGGGTGCTCTGTCCCCTCCTTCCCATGTGGGAGTCACCTCCAGAAAGGCCACCCCGATTCCTGTACTCTACAACTGCCCCATGGCCATCACTGCAGACTGATCACCTGTTGAGGTGCCCAGTTCCAACCTTTCACAGGGATTGTAGATGCTCAACAGATGCTGGAATGAATACACACACCTCATCGAAAAATGTACATCTGTGCCAGGCAGGCAAGTCTTGACCACCTGGATGTATGGTCTGTGGGTATCAAGTTGCCTTGGGTGGTAAGCCTCATGTTAAATATCTGTAGTACAGAGGCTGTTGAAACTATACATGAGAACACTGTGTCTGGGTAGCTCAATTCTTTCTGAAATAAATTTCTTTTCCTTTTAGGTTTGTAGGGCAAGGATGGGAGAAAGTCTTTACCCATGTTATTATGGCTGGAACCCAGGTTACACTCAAACTCTGCATGGTACTTACAAGGGCCAGTATCAATTTTTTTTTTTTTTTTTTTTCAGTATCAAAGATTTAACCCCTGAATAGGCCACAGGTCAGTGAAGAAACTAGTTAAGTGTAGAAAAAATTCAGTCAAACCTTCCGCCACTCCAGGGCAAAGAGCAGATGGCTGGTCTGAACTAGGTGTCATTTTTGTAAAGGGAGAGAGTTCAAGACCTTCAGTAAAAGCAGCAGGCGTATAAAATCCTGACTACCCGAAATGACCACCAGAGGGCAAGCTGCCGATCAAACAGCAACATTCCCCACTCACTAAACCCATGACAGGCACACTTGCTTTACTGCTCTTTGCAGATAGTGTTTTGTTTTGTTTTTTAAAAACAAATAGAAGATATGTAACAACCTGATGTTGAGCAAATCCACTACTGTTGCTATTTTCCCAATGGCATTTGTTCATTTTGTGTTTTTGTGTCACATTTTGGTAATTCTCACAATATTTCAAAATTTTTCATTACTATTTTACATTACAGTAATCTGTGATCAATGATCTTTGATGTTTACTGCAAAAAGATTGACTTGTCTTCAACAAGTCAAGCTCAGATGATGATTAGCATTTTTAACAACAGTATTTTTAAGTTAAGGTATATACGTTGTTGCTCAAATATAATGCTGCTGCACACTTAACAGGATAGTGTAAACAACTTTTATATGTACTGGGAAACCAAAGAGTTCATATGACTTGCTTTATTATGATATTCTCTTTATTGCAGTGGTCTGGAACTGCACTATCTACACTATCTCTGAGGTATGCCTATAAATGAATTTTTATCCTTACAAAGAGAAGCATGGAAAAATGCCATATTGTCTGAAGATCAGAAATGGGAGTGAGATTCTTGTTTTGCCTTTTTTAAGGTTTGATCTCTTCTGCCCTCTAGTAAGATTAAGATAGTAACAGGTGGTCCCATCACTATATAAACCCCACCAAATGAGAGCCACCTAAAACTTTCTACTTACAGAACACACACAGTTTGTCTTACATAAAATTTATAATCAGATCCTAATAAAACCCTTTGAAACAGAGTGTTGTGGAACAAATTAAAAAAAAAAAAAACTTCCCCTTTAAAAAAACCCCACAAACCAAACCAACAGATTCCAATTGAGGCATCATTTGTTGAGGACCCATGACATGGCCAAGCACTGTGTGGTATGTATTCACAGATGTTGACCTGTTAACCTGAGGACAACTCTAAGTTAGGCATAACAAGTGGTCACACAGTTTCAAGAACTCATTTGTTATGGAAATAAACCACAACAAGACTCATTAACACATGGCTTTGACTTTGGGTCCTTCTCTCCATGAAGGACACGATGGACAGCTGACCTCTGTACCATCGAGAGTGCCCAGGGACCCCAGCTACCCTGACACTGCACTGTGTGCCCCTACAATCTGGGAAGGGAAAGCGGAGACTAGAAAGAAGAGTGCTCTGAAGGAGGCCATCGGGGGCAGCAACCTAGGCCCAGAGCCCACAGCCCCAGTCCATGTCCAAGGAACATCCTCTCTGGTGTGCCCCAGCCTCCCCACCCCGCCCGCAAGGTTCCCCTTCCCTGTGTCTCGGGAGGACCTGGGGTCCCTTTCCAAGGCTTTGCTGTTCCTTTGCATTTGGTTCCTCTGCTAACTCACTGACTCTCAAGTCCAGACCTCTGTCTGATACGTGGTGACATCAACACAGTTCCAGCACTTCAGCTACTTCTCTGTGCTCCACGGGAATCCCTGTTTTCTAGCGGGTGCACCACACTACTTTCCTCCAGGCAAGACATGCACACAGAATGGTCCAGACTCCTGGACACTAAGACACCAAGACAGAGTCTCACAGACCCCACAGGTGCCCAGGTCTATACCAGGGTGCGGCCTGCCCACCAAACCTCTTCACTGCCCAAAGATACAGAACGTGGGAATCCAGGTGATTCAGCGAGGCCCAGCACATGGCGTTCACCTGGTGAGGAAACACACAGCAAGATGGGGAGACTGGTCAGACAGCCAACTTAGAAACAGATGCTTTCTTACAGAATACAGACACCTGACTGCTTTCTTCAGGTCTCACTCCTTGAGCAGGGGCTGGAACAAACTTCTAAGGACAAGGAAGCTCCCTGCCCACCACGTAGAACCTTGAGGGCAAGGAGAGGAAGCAACTCCTGGGCCGGGGTCATTCATTATAAGCATGGGGGGGGACCCCTCACAATGAGGCATCTGGTATCCCCTCCAGGGAGGGGATGGATTTTCTGCAATGGATCTCACTTCACCCAGAAACCATTTTCAACCTGTGTCTGTCTTGTGGCCCAGGTCTCAACAGAAGAGGAAGTCACAGCTTCTTACAGATGCCATCACCCCAAATCAATGTAAAGGCTGCCCCCCAGTCAGCAAGCAAGCCCCTTACATTTACGTAGATTTCAGTGCTGGCTAGACTGGCTGGGAGATAAATACAGAATGATGCAGTGGGAGGACCCTCTGCCCACCGTGGCCCACCTCCTGGGAGCTAAAACACTGTGCTTCCCATGTGAAAACGAGGTAACTGAGCCCTGCCTCCTTCACCGAGCCCTCTCCTCTCCTCTGAGTGTGGCCAACTACCACAGTGCCCTGGATTCAAAAGCAAAGCGGCTGCCAAGGCTACAGCGCAGGGCAGCGTACCTTCCGGTTGGTGAAATAGAGGTTTTCGTGCATGTGCACCCTGAACGTGGGGGTCTTCAGGCCGTGCAGGCTGATGATGCCGTACTTGGAGCCCCCGACTTTGACATCATTCACAGTGAAGAGCCGCTCACTGTTGGTATCCGCCTGGAGAGGAGAGGTGGACTGTGGGTGACCGCCCAGGGTGAGCCAGGTGGGCTGCCTAAGACCAACTGCCCAGCCCCCACGTTCTCTGTGCATTTCCACCAGGTGAGGGCCCCTGTCCATGAGGGAGTGTGGAGTGACCTGACTTGACCCTACGTGGTATAGCTATCACTGGGCAAAGCTAACAGGTATCTGGTCTCACAACTCAGGAGCAAAAATGGCAGTGAAGGGCACGGCCAGCAAGTCTGACCTCACTCAACTGGGTGTGGGAGAGTCCTAACATCCACCCAGAGGACTGCTCAGATGAGCCTCATGGTGACAGAGCACGTGGCCATCATGCAGGCCACACAGCAATATGGGAAATGCTAGTTATAACTGCCAAGGGCTAAAAGAATGCAAAACCAGATTCCTATTACATAGCTACTGTGATTACCACTGCAGGAGAGGCCAGTTCGATTCCTGGGCCGGGAAGATCTGCTGGAGAAGGGAAAGGCTACCCCCTCCAGCATTCTCGGGCTTCCCTTGTGGCTCAGCTGGTAAACAATCCGCCTGCCATGTGGGAGAGCTGGGTTTGATCCCTGGGTTGGGAAGACCCCCTGGAGAAGGGAAAGTCTACCCACTCCAGTATTCTGGCCTGGAGAATTCCATGGACCGTATAGTCCATGGGGTCGCGAAGAGTCGACACAACTGAGCGACTTTCACTTCACTATAATTACCACCAAGTCAAAAAAGGCACTGCGTGGGGAAAAAAACTGCAATAAAAAGATGGCACTGGGATGTGGGCTATTTTAAGCTTTTCTTTACTCATTTAAAAAAATGTGGTTAATTATTTCAAAGCAAAACTTTTATATGTGTGTTTTTAATATATATGTATAAATATACACATATATACACCGGTTTGGATGCTGGTAAAAACATACTCCCTTTGCAAGATCACTCGGCAAGAACAGGTATGTTCCTGAAGAATCCTAACTACGACTAGCGTCAGATGGAAAAGCTGATCCCTGGGGGACAGACTGCCCTTCCCACCTCTCTGGTCACACCTGCCCTCCAGTCATCATAATGGAGTGACGGGGAGGGTCCTGCAAGCACCAGCACCGAAGCGGGAGGACAGGGTGCCCAGGCCACGCTAAGCAGCAGATGCACAGTGACCTCTACTGTCCCCAGACAGTAGTAGTGCCAGGACAGAATGTGAGTCCTGCCCCCAACACCCCTTCCGCAGAAGGGTTCTGCTGCGCAGGTCTCCTGGGGCTGGACCTGAATGGTCAGTTCCATCGCCTCGGCCTCCCGTCCTACCAGCACACCACTGAGGTTCTCTCACTCTCCTTGACTGGCCCTCTGCCTCCAGGAAGGCCTCCAGGGGTTGCCAGTCTAGCTCAGGGGTCTGACTCCTTCTGGCTGTGGTGGACACTCTGATCTTCTGCCAACATGTCTCTGGCCCCCGGCTTCTGATTCGGATCTAACCAGAAGTGGGAACTTTCTGTTCCCCAGAAATGATGCAATGGATGATGAAATGGAGGTGTGCTGGATGAGCAGGCCCTGCTACTGAGGTCAGGGACAAAGCAGGAGATGAATACGCTGTTGCTTCTGAAGGACACTGGAACTTCAGGTTTGGCCACCAAATCCTGCCTAGTACAGGAAGGATTAGAGGCCTCTGGTCCACCGTGTACTTTCTCACGTGTGTACACAACATACCCAGTGGTAAGTTACTTTGTGATGGTTCTCTGTCGGCGCTTTAATGAATGTCAAGCAACACAGCTGTAGTGGGGTGACAATGGTCACAGCACAGTCTATCTCGCCAGCTTGGCATTTGCCACTGGGTAGCTGCTAGTTAGAACCATAATACCTGGTTTCATGGCTAGTGGCTTCTATGCAGTCAGGCTTGATGGAAACCAAAGCGAAGCCACAAATGGTCCTGGGGACGGTCACTACACCCCAGCACCCGCGGATGGCTCCCGTGCACTCACCATTATCAGGTTAAACTGGTCACTTGCCAAAGCAGAGGGATCCGAGCTCTGAATTTGGACCTTTTTCCTCTGCATGCAGCTCACTCGCAGCTCGTGGGCTAAACTGCAGAGGAGAAAGAGAAGAGCACAGGAGGGTGGATGCCATACCTAGGTATCCATGAAGAAGGTACAGGGCTTCTGCTCTGTCCCACACCCAGAAGTCCATCTTCGTGGGTCAGTTCTCTTTTCGTGTTCAATCTCAGCAGCAGAGCTGAGCAAGGCCCCAAGGAAGCTCCATTTAAGAATCTTAGGAAAACTACAGCAAAGAAATGGGTGGCTCACTCATGGTGTCAAAGAAGGTCACACTAGAAAGATTGGTTTTGGATCATCTAGCGCAACTCTTTCTCTTGGGATGAAGAGCATGTGACCAAACGGAACAACCTGCTGAAGGGCACACAGTTCATGTGCAGCCGCCCATCCGATTGCCTCCTTTCCTCTTCACCAAGGACTGAGCATGTCTTCGGGTGAAGAACAGATCTTTCTAACTAGCCCTTTAACTCTTTTCCCACCCGCACTGGCTGATACTGCCTGTAGGGCCGTTCTTCCCCGGAGGGGGCCTCCCCAAGGAAGCCACCCACACTCGTGTTGTTTCTTCCCTGGCCCAGCTTTAGCAGGAAGAAGCAGAACGCAGGGGCTAGGAGCTCAGGCTTGGGAGTCAGACAGATGGTCGGTCCCCTTTCTACCTTTGCCCTGAACAAATCATTCCACTGAGTCTGTCTCTTCTTTTGGAACCTGGGGGAAGGGTCAACCTACCTCATAGGTCTTTGGTTAGAACTGTAGACATTACAAGTGTTTGAAATTTAGTACATACCCATTTAACGTGCCATTTTTGCTGACAACTCGTTAGAAGGAGAAAAGGAGGCAGAAGTCTGATGGGATGAAGTTAAAGGACCTTGTACTTAACTAGAAACAAACTACAGGTAATGAAGAGGAAATACCTTGAGAAATTCCTGCCCAGTTTCTCTGCCTAGATCCCTTCCCTGCTCTTGCTGGCTCTAGAAGGAAGGTGATGCTCCCAGGACTGACTTCAGCAGTGGAAGGCAGGCTGTGGGCTGGAGCGCCTCCACTGTGAAGGCTCCTCAAAGAGCAGCTACGCGCTCTATGCTGACTTACTTACTGGACCATGGAAATAAAAAATAGGAAAAGAACACTGATGAAGAAAACATAACCATGAGGCATTATCTTACCGGCAGTAACAGGTGGAATTGAGAAAACCCAGCTTGCTTTTCTGGAGTAAGGAAGATGTATTAAATCCCAACCTGGCTATTTTCTAAATTAAAGAGAGAAAGATTTGATGAAGTTTTCTGTTATTGTATAATAGATTCTGTTTTTAGGCTGCAATGAAGAAACAGGTACTAAGTTGACAGAAATTACACGCATAAAAATCTGATCCTCTCCTTTGCTAGTCTCTTCTCTTTGGAAAGAGGAAAAGCCTATCACAACAAACTATGTGAGAGCTGCAAAGTCTGCTCGTCACCCTTCTCTCCAAGGCCCCCGTCAATTTAAACCTGAGATGAGGCCACTGAGCTAGAGAGTGCAGGAATGGCCCTAGCCACTCAGGTCTGCATCGTGCTTTCCATTTGAGCTACAGTGACTGTGGGGCCCAGATTTTCCATTCCAGTGCTCCTGTGATCGCTGAGATGTCCGGGTGTCTCATCCCCAGAAGGGACCCTGGAAACCCTCCTATCCAAACCACATGATCTGGTTTTCCATTGAAAATACTCAGTCACAGAGGCTGTATCGGGTTGCTATCCAAGAACCTCCGGGGGAGGAACAGTGTCAGGATTACTGACGAAACCCAGCAAATGAGAAAAGGTGGTGGTGGTGGGAGGAGAATCTCGCCTGTTCCTATTCTCTTCATCAGGTTGTCATCAGGGAAAACTCGATGATACCCCCCAAAGTGTGCTACGCCGAGTGTTACGGGGGGTGTTTAACTGACGCCTCCTTGCGGCAGTGGGTGGACGCTGGCAGGAGTGGAGGGGACGGGGCAGCCCCTGGGGCGTGGCGCCTACCTTTCCCTGCCATTTCTCTTCCTCTAGCAGCTTCAGCCTCTTGCGCTCCATTTCCTTCTGCCGGATACTCTCCTTCGTGAGAGGGTTGCAGTTGTTATGTCCAGGCAGCAAGCGGAAGTAACGCTTCTTTTCAGGATCAAAGTAATAACCTGGTAGATCTTAAGTCAAAGGAAATAAAATTCAACTTAAAGCCCCATGAACTTAGCCCCCCAACGAGGAGCCCAGGGGCCTATCCACCACCCCTCCTGGTTGCCGGTCCTTCCCGAGGGACAGCAGGTGGGCGAGCACTGCCAGTCACCACCCGGGGCCCGAGTTCAGCCCGTAGGGAGACGTTTGCCTCAGGATCTCGGTTCTTAACACACTCAGATCCTCCCTTGAGTGTTTAAACCTGCTCCCAGGATTTCCTCCGAGTCAGGAATGGGCCAACGACACACCTAGAGTGTACCACACACGAGTGAAGACACACAGGGCTGAGGAGAAGGACAGTCAGGACAGACAGAACCAGACGACGCGGGATGACTGGGTTTCATCTTTCCCCGCAGGTAGGCCCTGGAGGAGCCCTGTCCGGCAGGCGGCCTCACCTGGCACAGAAGAGCTGCCAGCTGGGCTGGAGGTTGAGGGGGCCTCCCCACGGCCATCGCTGGAAGCCCACGGGCTCTGCTGCGCCCCTGCGTCATTCCTGTTGACACAAAGAGTAACCTGGAGCCAGTGAGTCCCAGTCATTCTCTGACAGCGGGTCCTGCAGTTCCACAGCCTTCACATTCCCAGCCCTCGAGTACTTGGGAAGCACTGACCCTTCTCTTCCTTGGAAGCAGTTTACCTACTGCCAATATACCAAAGTTAGGGCAAGGTTTTGTTTTCTCTCCTTTAAGGATGCAGGTCATGGTACTTCCCCTTTTGTATCTCCTCCTTTGAGCATTTTCTGAGGTCTTCTGGAATTTTCCATATGAAAATGAGAACAGAACTCTTGGCCAATAAGAATTTTACCAGCTGGGCTCATCTGTCAGCTCAAGAGTAGCTACAAGGCCAGGTGAATTGCAGTCTTTACTGGATTCAGCAGTACAAAGAATTTACATTTTACTTGGCTACCCAAGCCTACAGTTAGAGAAACTGGGGTTCGAGCACAGAGGTGATTTCCTCAACAACACTGGGACAGAGCCATGGTTTAAAGACTCATTCTGCAAAGCTACAAGTAGCTCCTGTGGCAATTACAGGCTGAAGGATATAATGATAGAACAAAAGACCTAATTTTAGAATTCTGATAAAGTCCAAAATTATGAACCTTCCCTGCCCCCATAACACTGAAAGGAATACAAACTGCAAAAAAAGGTTAAAAAAAAAAAAATCAAAGAACTTTGCCTATAAATACTAACTATGCACAGTTTCGGAGAATAGTATTTATTCTCCCTTTTTATGGCCCAGAGCTTCCTGAGGCAGTTCATCTGTGATCAGCAGCAAGACAGAGGGGGATTAAGTGTCATGACAGATGTCTATTTTCTAGCCCAAGGACTGCTGTTCCCTTCTTTCCACGTGGAGTGCAGAGGATTGTTGTCCTGCGTGTTTCCACGCGACTCTGCCAGGCTGAGTCAAGGTGCTCTTCTTACACAGACCACATTCTAGTGCATGTTGTGCTCCTGGGGGAAGGCTTGGGGCCCATGGTTCTCCTTATAAAAAGTATAAACACTGGGCACTATCCTGATCTTTCTACAACATGGGTCAAGTTTGGGACTTCAGCTCAGAGTCCCTATTAGCTTGCACAAGGTGAGGCCCCGCCCATACAGAAGGCCTGCTCAGAGCCAGGCATCCTCATGGGGCTTTACATACACTACTGTGACTCTTGTAAGAGAAATACTGTATATAAGAGTGACTCAGGGTGATCAAGTAGGTCGCCCGATTTCACAAATGAAAAACGCAGAGCGTCAAACCCAGATTGCCTAATTCTAAAGCCCTTATTCCTTCCACATTTTGATGCTTTTCTAAAACTTGTGTTTTTTTTTTAACTCTTTTGAGTTAATCTGTTCTAGAGAAGCATACTGGCATTTAACATCTTCTGATCCTATAATTAGAAAGTTGTCCATTTTAAAAGGAGATCTGGAGTGTGGAAGGGTTCTGAAATTGGAATATAGGTCTCCTCTGGTGAGGAATGGGCTCTAGAGACCTCCTAGGGCCAGAGGTCAGGTCAGCAGCCCTGAACTGTGAGGAGGTGTCCTCTCCTGGGGTGGGGTGGGGTGAATCATGTCCTGAGACTAGACTGTACTTCATTCATGCAGAAAAACAAGTGTGGAAAATGTTTATTATAGGGATTCCACCTAAGTATACACTGTTTTATTTTCTAAGCTGGGTGGTAGGTACGTGATATTCACTGTATTACTCTTTCTACCTTTCTGTGTTCATTAAATATTAGCTATTATATATTACTTGGGATTTAGGCTGAATTAATGAAATTAGGTTTCCAGAAAGCTATTTTCATAGGCTGAAAAAAAAGAGAGAGAGAGGAAAAAGGTCTAAAAAATGGAGAAACAGCTCCTCAGTTATACCAGACAATGTTTACTCTAAGCCTGTGGCGAGGGCTCTGGCCACAAGTCATGGTCACATGGAAGAGAAAGATGAGTGTGGCCCTCTCCTCACTACTCAAAGTGTGGCAGACAGCCCTGGCCACAGCAGAGACACCCCATGGAAGTGTGTGAGACGTGTAGACTCCAGTCAGCCCCACCTCAGATGCTGCATTTGGTCGAGACCCTTATGGAGTTACATGTGTGTGAGGGTGCTGGCAATGCTCGGAAGACACGGGGCAACAGCACTTGCCTCTCGTTAGAACCATGTTGCCCGAACCCAGCGTTGTGTCGGTGGCCCCTTCTCCCGTGCCTTCTACTGTGCCAGCTGCTTTTATGCATTTCAGCTCCTAAAAGGCAGCAAGAAACAAAAATTACATGCAAAGGCACATGTGCACATCTTTCTCTTGTTTGTTTTTGACAGTTCAGTTCCTTCACGTACAGAACTAGGCAAAAGGATGTCCCCAACCTGAGTTATCATGAAAGCTGCCACCAAGCCTTACCTGGAGGACTGCCATCAGGAGGACACATGGATAAAACCCAATGCGCCCGTAGCCACCTCGCAATCTGCAGCCCTCTTACCTCACAGCAGACACCCGGCCCGCCAACCTCCATTGCCCGGGTCACTGTGTGACGTGTTGACAGACTCTCACAATTACTTTTCAACTAAAGTCTGAGCCTGCCATGAGAACCTTCTTCGGCTAGTCTTCTTTCCCTTACCAGATTAACACCAGAGCTATATAATAATTATTCTTTCAATCCACACACATCCCTGATTCATACAGAACAGTTAATAGTGAAGACTTTCTCTTTCTCAGTATCGATCAGGAAAAATTGTGAACAAATTAAATGGGGCCAGTGCCTGTGACTTCTCAATGTGCTTTAGAGAGTGTTTTAGCTTCCTGAAGTACATTAACTGTTAAAGGCAAGGGTGTGCATGTGCATTTGTTGAAATGATGACACTGATGTTGCCGTAACTATTTCAAGTGTCTTTTTCAAATCTTACCTTGTATAGCCTGAATTTATCACTTAGTTGTCAAAATGTCACAAGTTTTAACAATGGGAATCACACTAGGAATTCTTAAGAGACTGAACTGTAGTATGGAGTCCAGTTGCTTCGAGATTCATGCTTTCCCAACACCCGGTTGGGATTTCTTCCCCACTCACTGGAGACACCGTGACATCTGACTGAATGTACTTTATAAATGTATTTAAATGCCCTGACAAAAATCAGAAAAATATTTCTAGGAACTAGGGAACAGATAAGAATCTACTTGCCTCTGTATAGGAGACAGGAATCAAGACCATCCCCAAGAAAAAGAAATGCAAAAAAGCAAAATGGCTGTCTGAGGAGGCCTTACAAATAGCTGTGAAAAGAAGAGAAGTGAAAAGCAAAGGAGAAAAGGAAAGATATACCCATTTGAATGCAGAGTTCCAAAGAATAGCCAGGAGAGATAAGAAAGCCTTCCTCAG